GAATATATAACAGAAAACCCAAAAGACTCCACCAAAAGACTTTTAGAACTGATAAACAATTTCAGTAAAGTAGCAGGACATAAACTCAACATTAAAAAATTAGTAACTTCTATATACCAGTTACAAACTTGCTAAGAAGTTAGGAAAGCAGTCACGTTCACATTACACCACATATACACACACAGACGCGCGCGTGTGCACATGCATGATATCTAGAAATAAATCTAAAGATGTGAAAAACCTCTACAATGAAATTACAGAGCACTGAAGAAATTAAAGAAGACATTCAAAGGTACAAAGATAGCTTATATTCATGGATTAGGAGAATTAATATTGTTAAAACTACCCAATGTGATCTGCAGATTCAGTGCAATTCCTGTCAAGATATCAGCGACTTTCTGCACAAAACTAGGGGGAAAAAAGTCCTAAAATTCCTATGGAAACTGAAAGACCTTAAATAGCTAAGGTCATCCTGAGTAAAAGGAACAATGCTGGAGGTAACACTATACCTGATTTCAAAACTAACTTCAGAGCTGTAGTGATAAGACAGCATGATATTAGCATAAATACAGACTTATGGGACAGTGAACAGAACAATAGACCAAGAAATCCATTCATCTTTAGCCAGTTGATTCTTGAGATGAAGAGATGCCAAAAATATACATTAGAAAGGAGAGCCTCTATAACAAAGGGTGCTGGGAAACAGCATGCAAGAGTGGAAGACTGAAGCCGCCTCACTTTCACCCTGTGCAAAAGTCAGCGCAGAGTGGGTTAAAGAGCTTAATGTAAGATCTGAATCTTTAAAACTTCTAGAGGAAAGCAGGCAACACTGCAAGATCCTGGTGTAGGCAGAGTTGGGATTCCAGTAGCCCAGGAAGCAAAAATAAGAATTGATGAATGGGATTACCTCAAATTAAAAAGCTGCACCACAAATCATCAACAGAGGAAGGGGACAACCCACAGAATGCCAATAATTCATCTGACAGGATTAGCATCCAGAATATACAAAAAACTTAGCCAAAACAAAACAATCTATTAATATGTGGGCAGATGATCTGGATAGAAACTTGAGAATTTACACATGGCCAAATTATATGAAAAAATGCTCAATATCTTTAGCCGTCAGAGAAATGCAAATCAAAACTACATTGAGATTGTATCTTAGAATGGCTGTTATTGAAAAACATTAGTGAATGCTTGTGAGGTTGTGGAGGAAAAGGAACTCCCACACTGGTTGTGGGAATGTAAATCAGTATAGCCACTATGGAAAACAGTATGGAGGTTCCTCAAAACTAAACATAGAACTACTGTATGACTCAGCTGTAACTTTCCTGGGTACATATCTGAAGGAGTTAACTCAGCATACGAAAGAGACACCTGTGTACCCGTGTTTATTGTGGCATCATTATAGTAGCCAAGATATGGAATCATCCCAAATGCCCATCAGCAGATGAATGGATTAAAAAATGGCATGTGTATATATACAATGGGGTATTCAGCTGTAAAGAATGAAATTCTGCCATTTGCATGGAAATAGATGGAGCTGGAAGACATCATGATAAGTAAAATAAGCCAGACCCAAGAAGATAAATATTGCATGTTTTCTCTCATGTGTGGAAACAAAAGAGGGAATATTGGTCTTGCTGGGGATAGAGTGGGTGGAAAAGGGAGGAAAAGGAGGAGCATGATCAAAGCTCCTTGTGCGTGTATGGAAATGCCACAGTGAAACCCATCATTTGGTACAATTAGTATGTGTAATATAACAATTTTTAAAAGATTCCTCATGGTTAGAAAGTATATTTTATTCCAACATTGTAACTAATAGACCCCCTGCTGTTTAAGATCAGGCTGTCAGCAGAGGTGATTCTGAAATGCTGACATTTTAAGCAGAGACCTGAGTTAGCTATACAAGGATATGAGAGGAGAGCATTCCAGATATAGAACACCAAGTGCAAAGGCCCTGAGCAAGGACCAGTTTTAATGTGTTTGAAAAGGTCAGGATTAGACACTTAAGAGTAGTGTGTGTTAGCTTTTCATTGCTGTGACCAAATTACCTGAAAAGAACAACTTGAAGAAGGAAAAGCTTATTTTGGGCTCACAGTTTCAGGTGTCTTAGTCCATGGTCGCCCAACTCCATTGTTCTGGGCCTGAGTGAGACAACAGGGAGGAAGGGCGTGTCAGAGGAAAGCTACTCACTCAGCTCATGGTAGCCAGGAAGCAGAGAAAGAGAATGCAAGGAGCCAAGGACAATATATAAACCATAAAGTTGCACCCCTGTAACCCAACTTTGTCTAGCTGTTTGTAGTGGGTGCTTCAGTGTGTCTGTGGTGCCAGCTCTCCACAGGCTATAAGGTGTGTTTAGCAAGTATGCAACACTGTGTCCAGCTGAGCTGCTCCCTTCCCTCCTTTGTGTCCCCACTGAACCTATGCGTTGTTCCACTAGAGCATGTAGTTCTTCATTGCACTGGCTAAGTCTGCCTTCCATGCTTCACACCTGAAGGTTAGTATGCCCTGAGAAGTATTTGAGTAAGTTTAAAAAGAAATGTTCCAATTTTGTGACTGATTCCAAAGCTTATAATTTAACTCTTGGGGGATTTTTAGAATATCAGAAATGCTTGAACTGAGGTTACATATACAAAGGGTCTCACAAGAAGCCTAAGATTTGTCTTTTTCCTGGGGATTAAAAAATATGGGTAAAAAGTTGAGAACCAAGGAGAAAAATCTTGTTGCCAAAAATATCCTAATGTGTTTTAGAGTAAAACCTTATTTTAGCATTCTATAAACCATTTGCAAAGAGAAAACTGCCAAAAACAGACTTTTCACCTAAATTACAGTTAAAAACTGAAAAACCAGCTAGGTCCCTGACTCTCAGCACTTTGGCTGGATGGTTGCCATCTTTGTTTAAAATTGAGCTCCTGTCACTCTGTGCTCAGGAGCAGCCTGCATTGGGAAGACCAGATCTGACATTGTTGTCTTTTGAACACTCAGAAGGCAAACATAAAAATCTCACTAGACTTAGAGTAGGTAAGTAGCAATTTTATTGGAATAAAACCAAACCAGGGGGCAGGATAACTTTCAGATTTATGAACTGTATTCTTTATCACTAATTGAGAATCATTTGTGATTTACCCAAAGTAGAAATAAATATGGCTAGAGAAATGTGCTCTTAAAAGGCTATCTTGAAAGTGGCAACCCAAAGCTTTTGACTGGTGATTTTCATGATGACATGTGGTGCTGGTGACTGAGAGCGCAGCAGGTACTGTGCCCCACCTCTGCACCCTCACTYGCTTAGTCCTTAGTGAGCGGTGAGGCTTGATAGGTTGGCCTTGTCCTCATTTGTAGATGTAATCCAGTTCACAATAAGATGATTTTCTTTTCTATTTTCAGTTTTGTACTTTCACAGTAGATTCTTGCCAGTTGTATTTCTGAGCACTTTGAAGTTGATTTCCTTTGTGATTTAACTGTAAGATTTATACTTTTGGGTATGAGCCAGCAACTTCCTATATTTATGATTTGCTTTCAGAAATACATTTATGCATTTCAGTTGATTTTTCCAATGAATCTTTTGACTCACCAATAGCCAAATCGGTAAGTGTCACTGGATTCTAATTAAGTGTGAGCACAGTGAGTTAATACCTGACAGTTTCTTGGGGCCCTGCTAATTCGGCATCCTTGCAGATGAAGCTTAACTGTTTAGCTGGGTCTTTCTTTAGCATAGTGTTTCAAACAGGCCTGAATATCACCTCCTTAAGCATCACCTGGGGTCCTTAGGAAAGTATAGATGATTGAGCCCCCAGTTCCATTTTGGAATGGTCCCAGAACATTACATTTCTAATATGCATCCCTGGTTGATTTGATGCATTCTACAGCTTTGGAACTGTGTATTACCTAACTGAAAGGAAAGCAGATAAGAAAATGTTTTTATATGGCTGCAAAGGGCATCGCTAATCATTGATTTGGGAGTTGGACTATTGAAGTTAGATGTTACTGTCTGACTTTGGTAAAATTATCTAGCCTTTTTTGGATAGCAATATTCCCATTTATAAAATAAAGGCAATTCCTGCTTACCTCATAGTTGCAGTGATGATCAAAATCCTAAGTTAATCTGATGTCAATTTAGGGCTTGTTGGGACTTTGGAGTCAGATCTGGGTTCAAATATTAGGTCTTGCCTGATTTTGCCTCTTCCTTGCTCTGTGACCCTGAGCAAAGGGCTTGATGTCTGTTTCCCTTCCTGTACCATGCTGACAGAAGTGCCAGTCACCCTGTAGTAGCGTAAAGAGATACACAGGGATGGTTGTAAAAGGCACGTAGATCCTGTCTTATAAATGTCTCATTCCTTTCCAAAAATAAGTTTTAGAGACCTAACTTGGCAGCGGAAATCAGCCATAAATGTGTATAGGAACACTTGGGGAATGAGCTGCTTTTTGTACATAAAGATAAGGCAGTTGCTCCCCTTTTGTGAAGAGCCGAGCTTTCATGATTTGTTCTGATGGTCTGTCTGTGAGCCTTTGGGTATAGAATAGATGTCTGTGATGAAGAGTGTGTGGTGAAACAGAAATGACCCCTGCTCACAGAGGGTGTTGGGTAACTAAAGTGTGGCCTAACCAGCTATTCTAACTTTTAGACATTGTTGGGAGGGTCATCAAGAGAGTAGTATGCTTATTGTTCTTTTTGTGGAAACTTTTTGTCTAGTTTTTAGATCCGTTTGAAGTACAAACATAGCCTCAGCCAGAAGCCAAGGTAGAATCAGAGGTAGGCATAAAGCCTAGTGTTCATTTGCTGCAGTGACCAGTTGTGAATGGTATCTTGTCTTAGGCTCCTCTCTGATGCATACCATAGAGCTCTCCTTGCTTCATACATCTGTCAAAGGCAGAGTGATTCAGAGTTCTGGCCAAACTTTTCACTACATTGAACCCATGTGCTGATTTGTCTTGCAGGTGGTTTGTTGTGAGGAAAATGGGGACATTTGTCACACCATCCATCTTCTTTTTTCATGCAGTCTGGTAGCAGCCCTAAATGAAGAGCCGTCCAAGCCTTTAATGCACATCCTGGAGCCAGCACAACACAGTCAAGTGAGAGAATGGCCCAGCCAGCAAACGTTGGGGAGCTGCTTTCCATGCTGGATTCCCCTACCCTGGGCATACGTGATGATGTGACAGCTGTCTTTAAAGAGAACCTCAATTCTGGTAAGCCAGGGAACATAATTTTTAATTTGTCTGCTCACAAGAAAAGATGAGTCTGGCTGACAAATAGAAGTTTTCAGCCTTTTAAGGGTGTTCTTAGAACCACCAGAAGAGGGCATACGTTGGTTAGTTCATGCGGTAAGTGCTTTAAACTTTTAGTTACAGAAACACTCAGATAGATAGACACACAAAGAAGTGCGCACAGTACGGTGAATTTCATGAACACAGCTTCACATTTTTTGCCATTTTTATTTCATCTTACCTCCCTCTAACTTCCTCTACCCTGAGAATTTAAAAGCAAAATCTAGGCAGAGTAAATCATGTGTGTAATTTTATTTTTCTTTTTAATATTTTGTGTTAATTGTAGTTGGACATAATACCTTTATTTTATTTCTATGTGGTGCTGAGAATTGAACCCAGGGCCCCACATGTGCTAGGCAAGTGCTCTTCTGCTGAGCCACAACCCCAGCCCCTCATGTGTAGTTTTTAATAAGTGTTCAATCTCTCTTTAATCAGACAGTTAAAAAATGTAAACAGAACCCTTTTTTGCTTACCAGGTTGACAAAAGTTTAACATTGATTTGAGAAATGGGCACTGTTATAATAGGAATATAAATTGTTTAGCCTTTTTTGTGGGGGTGGGTACTGGAGATTGAATTCTACCACTGAGCCACATCCTCAGCCCTATTGTATTTTATTGAGAGACAGGGTCTCACTGAGTTGCTTAGTGCTTCCTTTTTGCTGAGGCTGGCTTTGAACTCGAGATCCTCCTGCTTCAGCCTCCCAAACCTCTGGGATTACAAGCATGTGCCACGGTGCCTGGCTTGTTAGCCTTTTTGTAGTATATATCAGTCAAATTGAAAACATACCATTTGGCCCATCTCCAAGAATCTGCATTATTGCCTTGAGTGAAATATGGTGAAAAATTGGAGAGCCCAAGTATCCTTCGGTAGACGAAGGGTTAAATTAATTATTGTGCAATGGAGCAATGGGAACTCAGTCAAAAGATGAGATAGGCAGTCCATGGGTGCCATCACAGAAAGGTAACTGTGATACGTTGTTAAGGGGAAGAAAACAGATACACAAACATGTCTGTGTGGATATGTGAGTGAAGATACAAGCGGGGAAGTTGAACTTAAGGGTATTCATGTAAAGAGTTGGGTAGGGTGGGTGGTGAGGGGACTTTCACTTTAACTTTGCATACTTTTTAATATGTTTATTTTTTACGTATTTTATACAGTCCTAATTTTACCAATAGTCACAGACTTTTGTGATTAAAAAAATAATAAAAAGTAAATGATAGCATTTCATAATGCTTTTGGATATTTAACAATTACCTTATTGTTAAACTCTAATGAATTTAGGGAGGCCCAAATACAATGCTTCATGGAACTCTGAGTAGCATATAAAGAAACACCTGGATTTTATACCAGCCAGCATTGAAATAAATTATAATGTTAAAGGAAGTAAGTGTTATAAATTACCCCTTTCTGTATTTAGACCGTGGTCCCATGCTTGTAAACACCTTGGTGGACTATTACCTGGAAACCAGTTCTCAGCCAGCGTTGCACATCCTGACTACCTTGCAAGAGCCACATGATAAGGTAACTGCCGAAATGTGGAAGGAGGGCATTGCATGTGTCTTGAAGAGTCATGTAACAGCTTCTATGCAAATCCATGCCACAGTGTGTCCAGAGCTGCTTCCTGCAACTTCTGTATGCCACGAGGGACATTATTCCCAGGTTATGACTATAAAGAAAAATAATTTTGCTTCCTGAGAAGTTTGCAGAATAAAATCTATTTCAGAGTTTTTTAAAGATCTTTTTTATTTAACCCTGGATATTCCAGCATCTTTTATATAGGAATACACACACATACACACACACATACATACACATACACACACATACATATATGTATATTGGATATACGCCTATAAAATTGAGGAGCAAGGGTACATAATGGGTTAAAAAAAATCACAATTCTGGTACAGTACTGCATAGTGATCTCTTGGCCTGTAGGGGGTTCATCTGTAAGCCCATGCTTTGAGTAGAATTTTTAGGCTTTTATCAATATGGGAAAATCCCTAGGTGCAGGTAATTGATATGGCTGATTAATGAATCCTGCTTTCTAGCACCAGGCTCTTGGAGGGCTTCATTGTGTTTGCCTTTTGCTTTTATTTTTGTTTGTGTTAAATAGCTAACAAAGCATTGTAATTGCAGACTTTGGTAAGTCTTGAGTTCGTGTGTGAGAATGACTGCTCTGGAATTTGAGGACCTTGCCAATGTGTGCCTTTTACAATACATTTTTTTTTTTCTTTACCCTGAGCTGTGTGGTAACTTTCCCTAATGTCTGACTTATGTTTAGGGCCAAAGTATGTGTGCGGGATGTTGCAGCAGTTGCATCCTGCCAAATCCTTCGTGGCTGCAGCCTGGGTCAGTGGTTCTTACAAGAGTGGAGCAAGAGACTGCAGAGGAACCACCGACCCCTTACAGCTCTGTATTGTGGGGATCCTTTCTCACTGAAGGGTCACTGAGGAGTATGCAAACTGACTGTTCTCTCACAGGCCAAACACAACTTTTTTCTTTCTTTCTCGCGTTTTTTTTTTTTTTTTTTCCTCCTGACATGGTTTTGTAAATCTTGGATTTGATCTCTTTACCAGTTTACACCAGAGGAAAGACTTGAGGGAGTGGAGTCCATCGTTACTGCCTGTGTTTGGGTTAACTTCATTTGTTTATGTGAGGATGTCCTTTGTTCTTTTCAGCACCTCTTGGACAAAATTAATGAGTACGTGGGCAAAGCTGCCACCCGTTTATCCATCCTGTCGTTGCTGGGGCATGTTGTGCGACTACAGCCATCTTGGAAGCATAAACTTTCTCAAGCACCTCTTTTGCCTTCTTTACTGAAATGTCTCAAGGTAGGGTGTTGGTAAGGATTTAAATGAGATGACATTATAGATACTGTCTCTGAAATGGTGACTGACTTCACACAAGCAAGCTTGATGTTAATTTCAGGATTTAAAAACTTGTAGGATTTCTTGGTTTTTTCTTTTAGCAGGGTTTGTACTTGGTAATTCTCAACTACATCACTGCGAACATTGAATACCTTTTGTCTAAGTAGTGAAGTAAAGTTTCATTCAGATGGTGCTAGTATTATGTTACTGCATACTTCTTGATCTCAGCATTATCTAGCCTCCCTCAGTTAAAAACAGGCTGCAAATCCCCTTTTGCTGATAGAAAATGGCTTAAAGTTCCTTTTAATTTTAGAGAGGCATGTTTTGATAGCAGCCACAATTAAGATTTTGTTAATATAAGTCCTACAGAGTGGCATATTTTTTTTGCACTAAATGAAGAACATTTTTCTTCATTAAGAGCCAAAAACGTATTTAGATTTTATGATTTTAGTTTTAACAGTGGCTTGCTGAAATACTTGCTATCGTCTTAATTTGTTTAGTTCTTAGACTTGTTTCTTAACTGTAAAATAAAAATTTGTGGTTAACATTGTCTGACGGTGCCTCACAGAGACATGGTGTGCCCAGTAGTGTTGTTCCGGGATGCAGTACCTTTGTGTTCTTTGGATATAGCACCATGAATGTTGATTTTTGTGTCTATTTTATTATCCCTAGAGAATGGGACCCAAAGAGTCACATTGGCAGGGTCTTCTATTTGGGGTAAGAAAAAGCAAGGGCAGTTGTTTATGTATGTATTTATTTATTTATTTATGGTACTGCTGGGTATTGAACCCAGGGTTTTGTACATGCTAGGCAAACACTCTGCCAATTAATTGAGCTATATCCCCAGCTCTCAATCAGTTTTAATAGCTTTGTATTCTTTGAGCAAATGGATTGATGAGAAATTAATCCAGTTTTGAGGCACAACATTTAGTTCAGATTGCAAAACATTTATCTTTTCCAGAAAGGCAAGCCTTGAGTATTAATCAAGATCTTTTATCTAGGTCTTCAGTTAGAATGTTATGTAAATGAATTAGGGTTAGTTCTTTTTGCTGGAACTCATTATGTTTTCTCATTATATTCTCATGTGTTTCTCCTCTACCATATATTCTTTCTATTGGATATCTGCTACAACAGAAGCCTTGGTGCTTAATGTAAAAATTAAATATATTTAAAACTTTATTTCTAGCATTGTAGATTCCTTTTCTAATAGGAATAATAGATGTCTTAGCCCTCATGGCATTCTCTTGATTAATGTCTTATTTTATAAACCTTAATTTCAGTTACTCAGCAAACATCCATGATTTAATTATGGGTCAGGTGAGCTGCTGTAGCAAATCTGAGCTGATTTATTATCCATTGGGTATTAAGTGTACTCAGCCTGAAGTTATTTGACTTGATCCTTAAACCAAAAGCATGGTCAGAGATTTGTTTGTGGGTCTCTAAATACTGCTATGAAGGTGAGCCATTAAGTTGACTTCTTAGTGCTATTCTGATTTCTTCAATTATACTTCTGTAATAGTTCTTAAAACAACAACAACAACAACAGTGAATTGGGCTGGGGGTTTGGACTCAGTAGTAGCATATCATACATGAGGCCCTGTGTTCCATCCCCAGTACTGCCACCCACTCAAAAAAACAAAAACAAACAAAAAAAAACCTCAGCAAATTACTTGCCAGTGTGTAGTGTTTTTTTAAATTAGCTTAACCTGACAAAATCATCTTAGAGTTTGGTTGAATGGATGAAAACAGAGCAATATTGCTGTGTTCTGTTAAAACATGCCTTCTCGTACTTCCATCCAGGTGCTGCAAGTAGGGTGCTCATCTTCTGGATGAGGAAGTGTGGGGTATTGGGAATGGTCCTCCCAGATTTATCACAGTATAGCTAAGGCTCAGTACTTGATCTTTAGGGTTTGGAAATGAGTGTGTGAGGAACGTCTGATTTTTGACCCTTGGTATTGAGAACCTCTTCACACAACATGGTGCTGAGTGTGCACTGTACCTGACAGGTGTTGTCTTTTTCCTCTGTAGATGGACACTGATGTCGTCGTCCTCACAACAGGCGTCTTGGTGTTGATCACCATGCTGCCAATGATTCCACAATCAGGGAAGCAGCACCTTCTTGATTTCTTTGACATTTTTGGCCGTCTTTCGTCATGGTGCCTGAAGAAACCAGGTACAGAGCTCTATATCCCTGTCAGGCTCTACCAGGTGAATGCTGCTTTCCTGCTGATCAACAGGTCATGTGCTGTGAGGGAAAGATGTGTGAAATTTTATGGCTGAAGTGAGTGGTGTCCACTGGACAGATGAGGAAATACCTGGGTCTGTCGTCTACAGGCACATGTGAGAGGCATGGCTGGTGAGATGCCTTCCTTTCATTTTTGGCTTGGAAAGATTAGTTGTCAGAGAAACAGTGGCAGAATGTCAGACTTCCTGATTTCTCAGTTACATGGAAACACACCATCCATCTCTGTGGTTGCAGATACAGCCTAGCTTGTGGGACAATTTTTGTCTTACTCTGCTATTTTTGTACCAACACACAGACTTTGGTTCTGAGAGCCTATTCCTTGTGTATATATAGAGAGAGGGAAGGGGAAGAAGCAACAGGCCCTAAGTAGTATTGGAGTTTCAAATGCTTTGGTTTTCTTTTTCCCCACATTGGCAGTAGCACAGCTCTACCAAACTGATCGAGGAGCTGTGAGCCTGTGAAACTTCATATTGTTTGTAATCCCAGCGTCAGAGTCATTTTGTGAGCGAGTGCTTTGTCCTTCTAGACAGGATTGAGCAGCAGGCATAGGCACAGGCAATGCCAGCGTGTCTAGTAGGATCTTTGCTGGGAGAGTGCAGTTTGTCCATTGCTGTGGAGGAGCTGGGGTTTCAGTCAGTTTCTCCCACACCGAACAGTTTAAGCTAATTTCTGGATAATAGTTTTTTTTCTTTTTCACTCTTTAGTTATAAATCTGCTAAGCCTACATCCTGATTTCAAAAGGTTCTCATATGTTTGTTCCACAAACACTTGAATGTTTATTACGTGCCAAGCACAGTCCAAGACACTGGGGATAGAGAGGTGAGTAGGATAGTCCTTTCCTCAAGAAACATGTGCTGACCCGAGCAGTGGAGAGTGTAATTATAAATTACAGGGAGGTTGAGGATCATTATGAAGGTAGTTCAGCCTTGTGAGAGTGTTTTGGGGGATGGCTGGAGCAGAGGGCAGAGATTAGGTCAGTGAGAGTCTTCCTGGGTCACACTGAGTAGATTGGAGTTTATCACGAGGCTGTATGCACAGAGCCATTGATGGATTTGAAAGCGGGGTGTCTGTGTTCAGGTCTGCATTTGAGGAAAACATTGTGACATGTTCTTGGAGCAAGGTGGGAGGAAGCATGCCTGTCTGTTTTGCATGTGTCAGTCTTGTGTCAATCTTGTTGATTTCCTTCTTAGGCCACGTGACAGAAATCTACCTTGTCCATCTCCATGCCAGTGTTTATGCCCTTTTTCATCGTCTTTATGGAATGTACCCTTGCAACTTTGTCTCCTTTCTGCGTTCACACTACAGTATGAAGGAAAACTTGGAGACTTTTGAAGAAGTGGTCAAGGTAAGTTAATACTGTTCATTTATTTGATACTGAGTGCATTATTCAGAATGGGCTACATTTGTAACTTCTGTATAAATGGTAGAAGTTTTGAAAAGAAATTTAGCCTTCCTCCAAAACCCCCTCCCCATCCCTTAGAAGCCACTAATTTTCCATCTTTATGATGAAGACTTTCTATTCTGGACATGTCATAGAAATGAAATTATATAATGTGTGCACCTCTGTGCCTGGCTTCTGTTACTTAACATGTATGAAGACTCATCAATATTGTAACATGTATCAGCATTTCATTCCATTTTATTGTCAAAGAATATTCCGTTGTGTGGACATGCTACAAAAATTCACTCCTATAATTTGTATACCCCATTTTTTTAGCCAATGATGGAGCATGTGCGAATTCACCCAGAATTAGTGACTGGATCCAAGGACCATGAACTGGACCCTCGAAGGTATAGAAACTAGTGACAGAATGTTTAAAAATCTCTTGAGATTGCTTCTATTCTAAGAGATGTCCCATGGAGGTATTATTGAAGAATACAGACGTTTGACTCACAGCATCATTCTATCAATTGATTGGAAGAACTTTATACAGCTGGAACTTTATATGAGTTTAAAGCATATTCCTCACAGAAAGTAAGTAATTCCACTAGCAGAGTAGGGGAGGTTGCAGTGCTGGTGCCTGTCCCCAGGACTCCTGGAAAGCTTAGCTCTTGGTGGTGCTGGTGACTGTGTAGGGCAGGTGGCTGAGAGCACGTGGGTTGAGAATGGCTATATTTCACACGTTGAGCCTTCCTGAGACCTTTTTCCATCTGGCTTAACCAGCTGTCTTCCACCCTCTGTGGGGCCCTGTAGGAGTGGCCAGGTTTGTTCTCTGTAGGTACTGAACTACCTACAAAAGCTCCTGATTTGAGGATACCAGGCCTGGTGCAAGTGGAGCTCGGTTAAGACTGAAAATGAGGGAAATGAAGGAAATGTGGTGTGCTGAGCTGAAAAAGCTCCTTGCTGGCAGCCTGGCTTATGCTCCCCTGTTGGGGAAACTGAGCCACAGATATGGACTTTGGGGTGTCTTACTGAGATGAGAAACATGGCTTGTTTTCTGATCCTCCTATAGCAGGTATCACCTCTCAACCAACCCTGCCTCTGTCACACCCTATCAGCTTAAAACAACTTACTGAGTGGTACGTTATATGTAGAGAAGTACAGAAAATGTATATGCAAAATTTAATAATAACAGACATATACAGGTAGCCAGTACCCAGCTTTAAAAATAGAACTTTTCCAATATGTTAGGAGCCTATCATGAGACTCTCTTCCTCCCTGTTCCTTGTTGACCTTACTACTCTTGCTTTTATGTTAGTTATTCTCACATTTATTTGTCTTTATAGTTCTGCATATATTGTTTTGTTCTGTAAAGCTGATTAGGAAACCAATCCTAGCTAAGGAAGTCTTGTCTCTATCAGGGGCAGGTCCCCAGGGACAAGGGCAGGAGCAGTGTCTGAGTATTGGTCTGGCTTCACCATCCTTGGAAGAATAGCAGTGCCTTCAGGGACATCATTGCCACAAGGTCACAGACCACAAGTGAGGCCTGGGAAGCTAAGAGCTGCCTCAGAGCATCTATCCAGGCCTTCAGTGGGTGCTGGCTGTTAGACATGCTGCTAAAACAAGGCGAAGGAAGGTGTCTACTTTCAACTCTCGGAAGTAGTTCAAAGCAGGATCCATCTATGGGGTAAAGTGAATGTCCTTTGCTGATATGGCAGAGGAGAGAGAGTGGAACTTCAACAGCCTCTGAACTATTAGAAGACCAGTTATCTAGGCCAAGGTCACCTGGTTGTGTCTCTTGGCTAAAAGGGTAGTGCAGGGCAGTGAGAACCGTGGTGAGGACTGAGGATGTGTCTCAGTGGTAGAGTGCTTCCTTAGCATGCAGTGAGACCCCAAGTGGGATCCCCAACACTGCAAAAAACAAAGGGCCTTGGTGATGGCCTATAGTGTGCCCATCTCTTGGCGGTTTGTTCTGAACCGAGCTGGTTGTCCCCTGTGCCTGGTGCCCAGCTATCAGCCTGTTTTCCTAGGGCTTGGCCTTGCCATTCTCCAGAGCAGCACATCCATGGCTTCTTTCTTGGTTTCCTTGGATTCCGATGGAAAGTATTCTCTGGTGGCATTTGAGGAAGGATGCCATCGTTTGACTTGGTGGAGACACCCGGGCCAGAATTGGTCTCCTTCAATGGTTGGAGGCAGTACCATTGCCCTCCTGCTGCCAAGCTTGCTATGGAAATCCAAAGACATTTCACTTCAGTGCTCTGTGCATGCTGTTTTTCTTCTGGGAGCTAGGAGATCACTGGCTTTTTGGCACAGTGTGTGGAAGTTTTTCTATGATGCACGTTGGTGAAATTCTATTCTCATTGTCCAACCCAGAAGCTCTTTAAGCTCTAGGAAACTTTGTGTTTGGTTTCCTTTCCCTGATTGTCTTTCCTTCTAAAACTGCTGCTGTGGAGATCAGAACCTCTTGGAGTGTTGCTCTGTTTTTCTTTTCTTTTTTTTTCTTTTCTGTCTTTTTATTCCACTTCCTGTTGATTTCCTGTGTTTGGCTTGCAGTCCTACTCTTACAGCCGGCATTTCTACCACCACTTTTGTACTAAGAGTTCTTTTTAGTTCTCAGAGGGCTTCTTTTTATAGTAGCCTACGTTTGTTTCATAGATGCAATCTCTTGCCTTCAAGAATGTTGACAGTATTTTTGTTTTGTTTTCCCTGAATAGTCTGTTCTCTGCATAGTCTTCTAAGCTGCTTTCTTTTTTGCTTTGTTTTGTTCTTTTTAAATCTTGGAGGTTTTCTGCAAGGATTTGGTGATCTGCTTATCTTTGGATAGGAACACTTAAAAAAGCTGTGCTCATGGAATGGAACTCGTTGACCTTGCACTTTGTTTTGTGATGATCTGAGCACCTGGCAGAGATTTTGACAGCAGTACTGTTGTTTTCCTTAAGCTGCTCAGATTTTTAGAAGAGTCTTCTGATCGCTGGGCTCATAGAGTCTGGCCACCACTGAGGGAAGCTGTTGGTGTGGAGGACTTGATTGGCCTGGGCATTCAGGATGTGTGAGCTCACTTGGTCCACGTGTCTGGAATGTGATCATGCCCTCAACTTCTCTATAATACTTCACCCAGAAACTCCTTATTTTATTCCATCCAGAGAATAATCCAGATTTCTGGTGAGAAAAGAGCCATTGCTTTTGAGTGTAGAATTGGGAAGGGACTTTAGGATGCTTGGTGCTCCTCTAGTGGCTCCAACTGTGGATGCCTAGGGTCCTCATCTGCTTGCCACTCATTAAGTCTTGGTGCCATAAGTTGTTCGGTATCTTAGAGTTTCACAGTGTAAGTCAACTAACTGTATCTTCAAAGCATTGGTAGCTTAGYACCTGCTTCCTTAGATTTGCTACCAGTTGCCACTTGCCTTCTGCTCTTGTTCAGACACTGTGGTGCTTTCTCCCTTCCCCCATCTACTTCCCTGTGGGTGTATATTTGAAAATAAATAATCTTTACTCTAGACAGTGGGCTTTGGAAGGTCCTACATCAGTCAGCCATGTTAACTTGGAAGGCAAACATCAGTCAGCCAAGTCAGTTAACTTGGAGGCTTCTTTAGCCAGCTCAGAGCGCCTTGCTCGACAGGTCCCGCAGGCCATCTGACTTTGGAAGAAAGGTTCTATGGGAAGACAGACCAACACAGAAAGAAGAGCTGGAAGTACTGGTGACACAGGGAGCAGACAGGGTGTCCTCTGTAACTTCAGAGAGAGTATTTGTGTACAGACATCGTAAATACTAGGGTGCTGCGGAAAAACACTATTTTGAAACCAAAGAAAGAGCCTTAAAAATGAAAAAGGATGGGCTGGGGCTGTAGCCAGTGGTAAAGCACCAGCCTTGCATGAGGCACTGGGTTCGATCCTCAGCACCACCTAAAAATAAATAAAGTGAAGGCCTTGTGTCTCTATACAACTTAAAAAAAAAAAAATGAAAAAAAAAATTAGAAGGATGGCCAAAGTAATACTTCAATAAAAGAATTAAAAGATGAAGTTGAGAATATCTCAGAAAGCTGAGCCAAAGAGTAGAAATAGGTGTATCTCTGAAAGAAAGTTAGAATGGTGAGTGCAGGCCAGTATCAATAATAAGAATTAAAAAGAGAGGAGAAAACTTGGTAGAAGAAGAAATTGTAATAGAAATAATAATGTAGAAACATTCCTAAGAATTGAAGGACACGAGCTTCCAGATTGAAGGGGCTTACTTTGTGCACAGCCCCTTTAATACAGAACAATTCCACCAATCTCAAGTTAGTGGAATTTCAAAATATTAGAGTATACACTTATCTAACATCTATGAGGCCCTTGGTTCAGGCCCCAGCACCACACACAAAACAAAACAAAAGCCAGAAATAAACCTTTCTTAATAATAAACCTTTTTTCTGAAAGAAAAAGGCTAAAACATTTAAGTAAGATTAGAAATCAGAATGGTGTTAGCTTCTGAAACCCTTCAAAAGTAAGAGAAAAAGATTTTTTGATCTAGGATTCTATACCCTATCAGGGATGAGACATTTTTAGATAGGCAAGACACAGGGACTTAAATTTCTCCCATTTAGCCTCATTCAGCCCCGGGAGAATGTCTTCTACCAAACTGAGAGTAAAATCAAGAAAGAGGACAGTTGAGGAAACTTGAGGACCTGACTTGGGGGCATGGTCAAGACGAGTGTCAGGATGACAGCTGCACAATAGGTGAGGATGGTGACCCTGCAGACTGGGAGAAGGGCCTCCAAAAGGGAGTTCTGCTGGGGCCAACTAATCCTCATAGATATTTATATTTCATTAAGAAAAAAATTACAGTAGGGATTGTTTCAGAGCAGCTTGAATAAATTTAGGAAAAGTTCATGATAGAAATTCATCATAGATAGAATTCATTATAGAAAACTGAGGGGAATAGAAAACTGAGGGGAAAAAAATAGAAAAAACTCAACTCCAGGCCAAACCAAATGAGAAAGTAAATGTATCACAGTGTTCTCTTAGCCTGAGCTGCAAATAGTATTTATATTGTCTTAATAATTATTGAAATTAATTTTGGAAAAAAAAATTATTTTGAGAGCATTGGGAAGGAAGGAAGGAAGAGAGATATGGCAGTGACTTCAGTCTTCACCTGTAACAGGAAGTTAATAGATGAGGTCTAAAATTCATAAATCAAGAAAGGAGAAGCCAAGGGCATGTTCTAAGGAGCTTGGAGACGGGAGAATGGTTCAACTAATGAATTAGAAGCAGCAGCCAGAGTGGTTGTCAGCGTGGTGTGGGAGGAAACTTTAGGACTGTACCAACTCTTTAAAACTATTACATTTCATTGAGTCTAAGGTGTCATTGAATGTATGATGTACTTATATTTTAGGTAAATCTGAGAAAAAAAATGCCAAATAATACACACCTGATCAAATTATAGCATTTAATTTCAGAGATATTAAAGTATGAAAAGTTCATTCTAGAATCAAGGAAATATAGTGATATATCACTTTAATTAAAATAAAACATTTAAATGTATTCCTTCTTTATTATGATTCTCATTTTCTTCTCCAAAATCAATCTTCTCATGTGTACATATGCATCCTGACTCACTCTCTCAGTTAATCACCTTGCAGGCATGCTGAGGGTTCATGAAAGGGAGTCCATGACAGCAGAGTTCAGGCAGTGAGAGCCCGAGGAGCGCCCGAAGATCCAGCCCTGTGGTGGGGAATAACTTGCTGTTGCGTAGGGAAGTGGCCTGGGTTCCTTATGTCCTGGACACTCTCATCTATGTTTAATACTACCTTTTCAACTTGTAAGATTTAAGGAGCATTCTGCAACCGTAGTGTGGAGTACACGTGAGCCCACAGAGCGCTCTTAGTGTTGTTAGCTTCTTCCTGTAAATTTTGGGACATAAAATGAGAATACCGGTTAGAGTTACCAAGTACTTGGAAACAGCTGTTATCCAGACTTTTGCCTCGACCATGACCGTAAATCAGGTCCCCAGTTTCCTGGAGTCCCCCTCCTCCTAGATTTTATCCTTGATTTCATAGAAGATATGTTGTCGTGCTCCCAGAGCAAGCTGAGAGCTACATGGGCCATAAATTTTGAGTCCTTGCCCATCTAAAAGTGTCTCATCCCTGATAGGCAACTTGGCTGGGTATAGATTTTCTAAATTATAAAGCAATGTTGTCTAAAAGAAAGAAAACTTATACTTGAACAGTATTGTATTTTAAATGTTCTGTTAATCATTAGGGCCCTTGTAGAACATCTGGCAAACACTGAAGAGTTGAAAGAGAAAAATGAATATCATCCATAACTCCAGTTCTTTCTTGTGTGCACTTTGCTAGGGATAGAACCCAGGGCCTTGAGAATGCTAAGCAAGCGTTCTATCAGTGATGTATAGTCCAGCCTCTGGTTTTTAAAGTTCAAATACTTAATGCTATCAGATCTGTTTTGGGGCATGTCTTTGAATAGCTTTGTGTCCTTTTTTTCATTTAAGATTATATTCTGAGCATTGTGTCATTTAAAATTTGAAGACTTGATTCTTAAACTTTAGTATAGCTTATAATTTATAGAAAATAAAATTAATCAATTACATTTTAACAAAAGTCAGTGACAATGAAGTACATTTCCATGGCCCCAGAAACTCCTGTGTACTCTTACCCATCCCTGGCAACCTCTCATCTGTTAAGCCTGCTTTTCATGGTGGTATGCTAACATTTCTGCTTTATAATATATTCCCTTGATTGTCCTTTGGCTTATTTCCCTTTTTCAAGCTGTGTTGAACAAAGCTGTACATCTTGGTGTCTGCCTGCTTCTGTGGGATGAAGTACTAGAAGTGAAACTGTGGCTCCATAAACAGGAGTCTCAGACAGTTCTTGAAATGCCCTCTCTTGTGGGAGTATCTCTATACTGTGTTTCTGGCCCAGGGATGGGTGAGAAGAGGCCCCAGTCTTATGGGAGACCCCAGGACAGCCTCTGCTGTCCTGTGCTTTTCCGCTCTCCCTGTGCCTTGGCTGCCTTTGCCCCTGGTGACTGTTCTTCATGGTTTATTATTTTGAGGCTGTGCCTAGTCTTTATTGATGAAATTTTTCTTTGAAATTAGCTTCTGTTAACTTTATGTAACCATTTTAAATAGGGAAGATATGGGTTGTAAGATGGACAGCTAGAATTTGGTGTTCTTGCACTGCTTTGTACTTGAGCCAGCCTGGTTCTGCATCATCCTTTGCCAACCATAATCCCCTGGCTGGCACTGAGCTGGCCCTCTTAAGTATTTGATGTAATTGAATGGAATGCCATTTGTTTTATTTTGACTTTCATTACGTTTTTTAGGTGGAAGAAATTAGAAACTCACGATGTTGTGATAGAGTGTGCCAAAATCTCTCTGGACCCTACGGAAGCCTCATATGAAGATGGCTATGCTGTGTCTCACCAGCTCTCTGCTCACTTCCCTCATCGCTCTGCTGATGTCACCACCAGCCCTTATGTTAACACACAGAATAGCTATGGTAAAAAGGGATGTTAGGACTTACCTGCTTTGCAGCTTTCTCTCTGGAAAGCCTTATGTATCTTTTGTTCTTTTCTTAGAGTAACACTTCACTTCCTAGGAACTTCTCCCCAAATGTTTTAAATTAGAGTTTACTTCCATTTTTTTCTAATTGGTTTCTCTTTCAAGTCCTTGATCTTCTTCCTGATAGCACTCCCACAAACTTGGTGGTGTGTCCTCAACATTAACAAAGAAAGAGTTCAAGTGCTTGGTTCTGAGTTCCACATAAGGAATCTCTCACTTTCCAGGCCCGTGGGGTGAGACCTGAGGGGCTGCAGCTCTGACACAGTATGAATGAGTCTGGACAGCTGAGAGCTGGATTCCCATTAAACACCTGGGCTTGATGTGTAGGCTGCACCCACTGAAGCTGCCAGCCAGAGTGCCTCTTTGTTATCCTAACCAAGCATCAGACCTCCCTGGACTTGCACTTCCATAGAGCATTTAAAGAATATTTTAAATGCTGTTACGTTGTCCCCAAGGATGTGGGGAAGCCCCTCAGAATTTTCAGATATGGAGCGTTGAGTATGATCAGATGGTCTAGAGGATTGTCATATTTTATTGGAATGACCTGAGGCCTCTTCCTCCCCGTGTTCTTCTTTGGTTTTAGGGAGTGCTACTTCTACCCCGTGCTCCTCTTCTCGGCTGATGTTGCTCAGTACGCCCGGGCAGCTACCTCAGACTCTGAGTTCCCCGTCGACACGGCTGTTACCTGAGCCACCCCAAGTATGGTGTCAAGCAGTGTGCCTGTTTCTCCCCTGCCTTCTGGTGAAGCTGATCATTTTGGTCAGAATTTAGTGTGCAGTTGGGAAGTTGTCATGCTCTACATTTCTGGAGACACATATAAAGACTCTTGACATAAGCAGAGAAGGTTACTGTTGCTATTTGGGCATCCCAGAGTCTAAATATGCAAAATGTAATTTGTGTCCTGATAGAGCTTTAACAAGATGCTTTTCCCAGTGAGGTTAAATTTAAACCACACATGGGTTGTAAGCCTTGTGGTGGACACAGTGTTCATTCACCATTGCTGACCGCCATGTTTACTTCCCAGGCTACTCTTTGGAGCCCATCTATGATTTGTGGTATGACCACTCCTCCGACGTCTCCTGGAAATGTCCCACCTGATTTGTCACACCCTTACAGTAAAGTCTTTGGTACAACTGGTATGTATGTCTCTCTTGTATTTGATTGGTTGGTTTGGGCTTGCCTTTTGTGATAGAGGAGCTTTCTCTTAGATCTCATAGTGAGTTTGGGGGCTTTTTGCAATAGTAAATTTTTTGACATTAACACAAACTTCTAGGGCTTTCAGATTAAGTGAAGTGAAATTAAAGAGAGAGATCTGGATCCTAGGAAGTCAACTGTAGTAGCTTCATTTGCAGCATTGGTTAGGCTGAGAAGAAAAAAACCAGTTTTCTAATAGTTGGACTCAATGTTGGCGTGTATTTTGCCCTTGTCTCTGAGCAGGTGGAAAAGGAACTCCTCTGGGAACCCCAGCAACCTCTCCTCCTCCAGCCCTACCCTGCCATTCAGATGACTATGTGCACATTTCACCCCCCCAGGCCACAGCTACACAACCCAGGAAGGTGCGTGCCAGCTTGTCCTCTGTCCCTCTGCCCAAACACAGTGACTCGGTTGTAAGCCTTGTTTTGTGAAGCCTAATTATGCCAGATAGAATTCCAACCCAGAGTGTGGTGGGTCTGAGCCCTGGGATCCTGAAGCCCTTCTCAGGAACTGAGTGGGTCCAGCCTGCTTTCGTGTTAATATTAGCTGTTCTTTGCCCTCCCTGCTGTGTGCGTTTGTACGATAGCACAAATTGAAGCAGGTTCCGAGCTGCCTAGTAGGCATTATTGTTTAAAAACAGGAAAGAAAAAAATAAAAAACTTATGAATATTCTACATTAAGCAGTAAAAGTTACTAATTTTAGTAAATCTGGGACCTTGAGAATATACACGTTTAATATTCTTTGCAACAAAATAGGAAACATGTACAAAGCATGTTTATGGCACACAGAGGACACTGGTGGCTTTGGGCCCTTGGGCAGTTGCTCCAGTTGGAGCTGCCCAAGCAGCTTTTCCTGTGGAGCACGAGCTTTATTAAAAGAATGGGTGACTGACAAGCTGATTCAGACTTGAATATTTGGCAGGCAGTTTCCTAAACAATGAACCAAGTCTGTCACTTCAAGAAAAACCACTGACATTTATGTTTGCCAGTGATAAAATTAACTTTCAAGGGAAAAATTAATCTGTGAAACTATATCTGCCATCATGACTTTCCCAAGACTTTTGTGATGAGATCAGAAAGTCTTGGGAAGCTTCATTAAAGTTTTTGATTCCTTAATATTATACAATAAGGGGCTGGGGTTGTGGCTCAGGGGTAGTGCACTTGCCTAGCATGCGTGATGCACTGGGTTCGATTCTCAGCACCACGTACACATAAATAAAGGTCCATCAATGATTAAAAAAGATTTTAAAAAATATATATACAATGAAGTGTTTTATCGCTTGGAAGAGTCGATAACTTGTTTTCTAAGTGTCTAGCCTATGATGTCGCAGAATCATACATAGGTAAAAGTGCTTTCAGAATACAAGGTAGACCAGTAGATTTTGACACAGTATGAAAAGCTAACTTCAGATTTCACATTGTAACTATAAAAACTAACACTTTTCAGATTTTAGTGTAGTAAGGTGATTATTGACAACTATATGACAGATCTGTAATATGTGTTTATTGTTTGCAACTATATATCTATGGGGCACCAGATTTTTTTCATGTACTTCAGCCAAAAATAATATTCTGCAGCAGATTTAATGTAGAAGTAGATATAAGAATCCAGCTGTCTTTCATTAAGCTAGATAATAGAGATTGCAGAAATGTAAAGTAGTTCTACTCTTGTTACTAAATTTATTGCTGTTTTGGGAAATTTCATTATTTTTCAAACAATATGTTATAGATGTGTTTGTTTTTTAATACTGGAGATTGAACTAGAAGGGCTTAACCACTGACCCACGTTCCCAGTCCTGTTTTTTATTTTAATTACTCAGCTGCTTAAGGCCTTGCTAAGTTGCCCAGGCTGGCCTTAAACTTGTGATCTTCCATTCTTGGCCTTCTGTGTTACTGGTATTACATGTGTGTGTGTTACCACACCCAACTAGATTAGTTATTTTTAAGTTAATAACATTTTAAAAAATTTCTCAGTTTCAATTTAATACAGTGACAGTTGGCAGATTTAACAATGTAAACAGAAGCTCTTGGAATTCTGTGTTTTTAAGAATATAAAAATAGATTGAAACCAAACTGTTTGAGAACCACTGGGCTAAACCTTAAACACCCTTCAGTGTGCTGGAGCATGTGTGCTTTCCCTGTATGATTAAATGATGCTGATTTTTTTAGGAGGAGAAAACAGATTCTTCAAGGCCGTGTCTGCACAGACAGCACCATCTTCCAAATGACAGAGGATTAGGTAAAATTCCCTGGGTAATGATAGACCTTGCTTCTTTCTTTGGATTGGTTTATACATGTTTAAAAGCAAAGTTAGGTAGAAACATTGACATTCTGGAACAGCAGAGAGCGCTGAAGGCTGGAGAATAACACAGTAGTGAATTCCAAAAGCCACCCTGTTAGAGTCAAAAAAGTATTTAAGCAATTGCCCTGAAATGCCACTAAGGGTTTTGAGCTGGTCACACTGCATGGTTTTAATCTGTTCCCAGGGACATTAAGACCTGAGGGTTGTGTTTTCTGTGGGGTTATTTTGGGTACCTTTAATTAGATGATTTAGAATACCTCAGCCTTCGGTAGCTCCAGGAGAGGCTCACCCCCAGCCTCCTCAGGTCTGCAGTCATATTATGGTGTAGTCCAGGCAGCTTTGCACTTGCAGGGATTAGTGTGGATCGTTGACTGGAGTTTTCTCTGGTTCTTTTCAGAAGAACTACCTGGCAACAAAGGTTCTGTTACTCTAAGTGATCTTCCAGGGTTTTTAGGTGATCTGGCCTCTGAGGAAGACAGTATTGAAAAAGACAAGGAAGAAGGTAACGTATGTGGAATTGCTGTGAGATGATGGAACTCAGCCCTCCTTCTGCCACAGAAGGTGATCTAGAGTCAACACTCACTGGCTTGTTTGGTTTTTCTTCTTCTGGGGTAAAAGGTGGGTGATTTATTCTAGGACCTATGCTAAGTAAAGCCATGCATGCCACTTTTTATGCCCCTTTATGTGGTACTAGGCAGCCCCTCTGGGTGGCTCTGGCACTGAACTGCATGGACTGGCCCCAGTTGAGTGTTTACCAGAGCTTCCCTTGTTTCCTGTCCTCCTTCAGCTGCAATATCTGAAGAACTTTCTGAGATCGCTACCGTGGAACCCGAGCCCATGGTTCCTCGAGGGGGCTTTGACTCTCCTTTCTACCGAGACAGTCTACCAGGTTCTCAGCGGAAGACACATTCAGCAGCCTCTGGGACTCAGGGATCTGGCATGAACCCTGAGCCTTTACACTCCTCTCTGGACAAGCTTGGGCCCGACACACCAAAGCAAGCCTTTACTCCCATAGACCTGCCCCGCAGTGGTGCCAACACCAGCCCCGCTGGGGACAGGGAGCGCCAGACTTCTCTGGAGACCAGTATCCTCACTCCCAGCCCTTGCAAAATTCCTCCTAGGAGGGGAGTGGGCTTTGGAAGTGGGCAGCCTCCCCCATATGATCATCTCTTTGAGGTGGCCTTGCCAAAGACTGCCTGTCATTTTGTCAGCAAAAAGACCGAGGAGCTGTTAAAGAAAGCAAAAGGAAACCCTGAAGAAGACTATGTGCCCTCTACCTCCCCAATGGAAGTACTGGATAGGTTGATACAGCAGGGAGCAGATGCACACGGCAAGGAGCTCAGCAAGTAAGTTGAAACTGCCAGCAGGTTAGAGACACGGGAAGCACGAGGGAGTGGGGAGTCACACTTCCCTGCCACTGGAGGCAGCTGCTCTGCTGTGTCCACCAGATCTTCCAGGCTCTTGCCTTCTCCAGGTGTGCCTTCTCCACCTCACAAGTGTTTTTATATATGGGCCATATTGTGCCAATCTTCTGTGAGGATACTCAAATACTTTCACATTTGCTGTCTGAAAATTTGAGGTTAAAAATGAGGTTGTGGTATCTCAAAAAATGTAGGTCTATATGTTGCAGTTCTTCCCTCTCTAATTGCAGATTATTGTTTTTTCTGTTTGGGTAGCACAGTTCATTAGATAGGGAAAATACAAGTTCAGATGGCCTGCTGCCTGCCCGCCAGAGGCACACCAGGGATCTTAGAAAGAAATCTGCAAGGCTGCCTCAGTCTTCCTTCCATTACCCGCCTCAGAGGATGTCTGAGAAAGGGATAAGGGAATAACCTGTCCAGAGTTAGAATCCTCTGCCATTTTTAAACAGGTTCTTGGGGAATGTTATTTTTTTATCTTTCTTCTGGGTAATATCCTAAAGGGGAATTCAATGGGAATTGTAAATTTTTTTAAGTTTTTTTTTGGTGCTGGGAATTAAACCCAGGGGTGCTTAACCATTGAGCCACATCCTCAGCCCTTTTTTATATTTTATTTAGAGACAGGGTCTCACTGAGTTGCTTAGGGCTCCCTGAGTTTCTGAGGCTGTCTTTGAACTCAAAATCCCTTCTGCCTCAGCCTCAGCCTCGAGCTTCTGGGATTACAGGCATGTGCCACTGCTCCAAGTAGGATTATAATCTTAAACTTTCTCTCTAAATGACATTTGGTTAATAGGCTCAGAGAACTGACCTGCTTTTTTCTTGAACTTGGGCAATGGTAGCTTCTCAGAGGAAAATTACTCACATATATCTCCATGGAGAGGAATGAAAGTAGCCTCCAGGTTCTGCTGCCTAGCGTCCTGGGAGAGCTGACCTAAGGTAGACCCCACACCTGAGCAGAGGAGCCAAGTCAGAGTTGGGCTCCCCTCCTTAGACCTGGTACTGCCAGCAGCTGCCTGCCCATTCCATCTGCTGAGCCCTCTCCAACCCCATACAGACTTGCTGCTTAAGACTTTCTTTGTAGATWCTCACCACAAGGAAGTGATCTAACCTTGCTGCAGTTAAATTCCAGATATGTTTTTTCTGTTAGATAAGTAACTTGGTTATTCCAAAACTTTCTTCCTAGGTCGTCCTTACCCAGCAAGTCTATCGATTGGACCCACTTTGGAGGTAAAGTTATTACTTTAGCATGACATCCAGCCCCCTTGGTTCCTGCTTTCTTGTCACCTGTGAAGGAGGTGCCTTTTAGGAGCCATCTCCCCTTGGTACTGCTTCAGCCAGCCTCTCTGCTTGGCAAAAGAGAATCTCAAGTGTTCCCAAGTCAGTATTTCCTGCTTTTGAAAAGTGGCAAATACCATGTCCTTGGGAATAGAAGTGCAGAAAGTGCCTCAGGCCAGGCTTTGCTAAGAAGGTCCAAGTGAAGTAAATGGTGGCGGCGGTGGTGGTGGTGGTGGGGTTCTCCAGGGGAGAGCATAGCAGGGAAGGAGCGCCCTGCAGAGAGGGAGGTGGAAACATCTTCATGTGATCTGATCCCATTTGTGGGGAAAAGAAAGCTCTCAAAGATGCCCCTCCAGCTAGTACAGCCTTTGCATTTCTTTCTAGGGTGGACAGGTAGAAAAATACTTTGCCTCTTTCCTAAGAGTGGCTGTTACTGAGGACCAGGTGGTCACTGCAGAATGCTTTGTCTTTGAGAGAAGCCTGTTTCTGAGCTAACCCACCTTGGAGGGACTTGATAGAGCCAGGTGTAAAAGGCCACTTCCCTTTGCTTTAAAACCAGGTTCCCCTCCTTCAGATGAGATCCGCACCCTCCGAGACCAGTTGCTATTACTGCACAACCAGTTACTCTACGAGCGCTTTAAGAGGCAGCAGCATGCTCTCCGCAACAGGAGGCTGCTGCGCAAGGTGATCAGAGCTGCCGCTCTGGAGGAACACAATGCTGCCATGGTGAGAAGGCGGGGCTGGGGCTGGGGGTGCCACCAGCAGCCGCCAAGTTGTCCTCAGTCCCAGCCCTGTCACTGGGAAGGCTGGGGCCAGGTCCCTTAGTCTCTGAGGTTCAGTCATGAATGGCTAGATCTCAGAATTCCCTCAAGTTTTCAGAATTCATGGCGACAAGTGACTTCTTGTGTTTGCTTGTAGTTGGTAATTGGCTGTGGTAATATAAAGGGTCAAATGATTATTTCTTCAGATGTGAAACCAATTCCCCTTCTGCTGTCTGATGTGGGTGTAAAGCCAGTGAGACCTGGAGTTTTGAGGGTTGAGTCTGCCAGTTACCACCTTAGAGAAGTACTTGGGCCTCTTGAAGCCTTGCTACATGTATGCATTCCATAACTAAGAAATAATAGTAGCTGCATCTACTTTTTTAAGTTGTGATGGTTAAAAGAAATTTCAGTAAACACTTTCCTTGTGTTGGGCACACTCATGTGTAAGTGCCAGGTAAGTGTTCAGCACTTTAGTGAATTTAGTACTGTGCATTAGAGGTCTGAGGCCATTGTTGGTTGTTCAGACCTGTTTGTGGGAAGTTTGTGTCGATGCAGATCCCTGGGAAAAATTTCTTACGCAACTTACAATCCATTTGCTAATGTGAAATTTGAAAAATCTTCACCTAAAGCCAAGTATGGCAGTAGTGGACCCCCAGACTCTTAAGTCTGCTATTACAGATCCAGAGTAGGCACAGCTGTTGAGCATGTTTGCAGCCTGTGTTAAACTCGAGAAGTGCTGCCCGGGTTGGACGGCAGTTAAAATGATGACATCTTTTATCTCTGCTAGAAAGATCAGTTGAAGTTACAAGAGAAAGACATCCAGATATGGAAGATGAGTCTGCAGAAAGAACAAGACAGATACAGTCAGCTTCAGGAACAGCGTGACACCGTGGTAACCCAGCTCCACAGTCAGATCAGACAGCTGCAACATGACCGAGAAGAATTCTACAACCAGAGCCAGGAGTTGCAGGTATAAACTGAAACACCAGCAGAGTCAACATAACTAGAGGTTGGTGGAAGTATTTCTTGATTGTTGTTACCTGGTTCAGCTTAATGGAGATGGATGCTTTGCTCTCTGGAGTCATGACAGGTAGATTTCATATCAGGCAGCTCTTACTGAGGGCAGAGGTTCCTTCCTTAGTGTCCTGATCCTCTAGCCCAAAGAAACACTTGTCAGGACCACTCATTAAGTAGCGCTAACCAACTCAGTGAGTATTGATGGCCTAATGATTTAAGAGCTCTTTGAAAATAATATACATGCATTTTAAAATGTTGTAAATTTCTGTTTTAAATAACTAATTACAAAGGTCATGTCCGCTTCTTGGCACCATGCAGCATCTGGACCTTGGAATCTGAGGGGACAGTGACACCTCATTTCCTGTTTCATGTTGTTTCTGAGGGTGCTTTTTATTATAGCAACCACCAAAAGCCCAGCTTTGCAGAGACAGGGCATCATCTGTAGGGGATAGCACCATCTGAGGCTCAGTGTTGACCACCTCCAGCTAGTTAGTACTTCATACAATGTCCCACAGATGTCACTGCGTTTCCCTCAAAAAGGAAACCATTGATGCAGCATGTGGTGTGCTCGCTGTGCAGCCCCAGGGCTCTTTGCCACACAGTTTGGGAACTGCCAAATCTAAGGTTTTTTGTTTTTCCTATTCAGATCAACTGTGACTTACTTTTTTAAAACTTAAGTCAAATGCTGATGGCCAAAAACCAGGAGACCAGCCAAGGAGCTGGTTCTGCCTGGCCTGCCTGTGTCACTGTAACTCCAGGCTGGTCTCTTTGTGCAGACGAAGCTCGAGGACTGCAGGAACATGATTGCAGAACTGCGCGTGCAGCTGAAGAAGGCCAACAACAAGGTGTGCCACACTGAGCTGCTGCTCAGCCAGGTCTCCCAGAAGGTAAGGAACAAGGTAGACCTGTGAAACTGTCTGCCAGCCCTCTTCCTCCAGGTGGGACAGACTCGGATTCACTGCTTGAGAGTCTTTGACAGGCATTGGACCAGGAGCAGTTCTGTCCCTCTCCACCTTCCAGGGGACATCTGGCAATGTTTGGACACATTTTTTGTGCTACTGTTAGTGTATAGAGGCCGGGTGCTGCTGGGTATCCTCCATGGCATGGACAACCCTGCATCTCAAAGAGAGTAGCCACTAAGCCCTGGGCTACCCCACAAACGTGGAACCCTTTCTCAGTACTTTCTTTACTTAAATGTAAACCACACTAGGGAATTTGGTGAGCTCTCAGTGTATTGTTCACTCAAGAACAGACAAGTTTCCAGGGTCTTTGTCCCACAGACCTACTGGCCCTGTCCTACTGGTCGTGTGTCAGGCCGCCTGCTCCTGGTATCCTGTGGGCAACCAACTTTGCTGTAATGTGTTTGTGATTCTTCTCCTTTCCGTAGCATAATTTTTAAGTGTGTTTCCATCCATTTTGGTGACCTTGGCTGCCTTCCTCCCCACCAACCGTGATGCCAGGAACTGGTCCCTTGTGTGCCATCCAGTTGCTGGTTTGTGTTGTCAGATATTTTTTACTTTGCTTGCTTATGTGTTTTGGTTAGCTGTCAAATAGCGAGTCGGTCCAGCAGCAGATGGAGTTCTTGAACAGGCAGCTGTTGGTGCTCGGGGAGGTCAACGAACTGTACTTGGAACAACTGCAGAACAAGCACTCAGACACCACCAAGGTATGCGGAGCCAAACTTTACTTGGAAAAGCTCTTTGGACCCAGGCAGCTATCCATCCTAAGAGTTCTCCCCTTCCTCACCCCGGCCTAGCAGTGTGGCACTGCCCAGCCATCCTGTGATGGTTTTAAAATGGAGTAACTGTAAGTGAAAGCACCTGAGGGAATTGCCGAGGAGGGTGTGAGGGTGTGGTCCTCTTCTCCCCCTGTTCCTTTGCAGAGAGAAGGAGAGAGAAGAGGGTGAGAAATGGTTCTGTTGCACACACCTCTCATGACTGTGGGTGTGTACTGGTGTGCACCCATGTGCATGCCATCTTTTCTTTTCATGTTGAATTTGATTTCTGAGATGGTGGTTCAGTCCTAGCAACAAGGCAGGCAACAGGATGATCTGATATTAATTAGTGCCTCCACAGTGACGTCCAGGCAGTTTTATGTCACTTTATAAATAGCCTCGGGTGATGTTGGTGAATGTGTTGAGAATAGAATTTTAATAGCAAATGCTCAGATGCTTTCTGTCACCAGCTTCTCCATCACATGTGGGCCTCCTCTTTAGTATTTCTTGGGCTTGTGCTTTGTAGAGTCTTTTTTGACCACATGTACAGAGTAGCCTTGAGTTGGAGACATGTAATTTTCATAGTAGTTTTTCCTTATTTCAGCTCCTCTTAGCCTCAGATTTAGACTCCCTCTGGAAGAATGTTAAGTGTAAAACTTTCTCTAGAAGCCAACTATCACTTCTTTTGGAGGTACAGTGGCTTTGGGAGAAGAAAGTTTGGGGAACAGGCCTAAAAGAACCTCTAAAAGAACTGGCCAAAGTATGTTTTTGATGCCTCTCCAGAAGAGTGTAGATGGGCACAGCAGTCTTCGACTCTTTGGGACCTGGAGCAGCTACCTACCATTTTGGGACCCATTGCATTTCCTAAAATGGATAATGATCCTAAATTGTACTAGTCAGGATGCCTTCCCTTGTAAACCACACAAAAACAAGTTAATCTGGTTTACCAGAAGGAATTTATTGCCCACTTGACATGAAGTTCCAGGCTGGTAAGTTCTAGGTTGGCCAAGTTGGCGATTCTGGCACATCAGGAGCCTGGCTCTTTCCATCTTTCTGCATAGCTGGGCTTTCGTATCACCTTTGCCTTCTAACTAGCTGCACTCATGGTTTCACAGACACAGATGTCCAGGGGAGACACCACCATGTTCTGAGGAGGAGAGTGTCTCTTCTATAGTGTTTTCAGAAATCTTTCTTAGAAACCCTGTACCATACTCCCTGTTGCCCTTGTTGGCCAGGATTGAGTCATGCACTCAATACTGCCCTGGCATTGCCTTGAGCTGGCCAGGATTTGCCTCTGAGCCAGGGACTGGGGTTGTTCCCATTCAGGGCAGTGAAGGAAGAGGGCAGCTGTCTGAGTCAGGTGGGGAATGGCTGCTCGGGCTGCTGAAGCCTACTGAGGTGAGCGTGCATGGACTTTACTCATCAGAAATCTCATGATTATCCATAAATAAGTACATTTGTTCCTTGGGATCCATGGGAGATTGGTTCCAGGGTCCCCATAGAGACCAAAACCTGCAGATACTCAGGCTTGGTGTCTGTGTATAACCCATGCACATCATCTCTAGATCATTTACAATATATGATATAGTGTAAATACTCTATAAATAGTTGTCAAACTAATTGTTTAGGGGATAATGACAAGAAAAAGTCCATATGTGTTCAGTACAGACACTCTGTTTTTTTTTTTTTGACATTTTCAGTTTGTGTCTGGTTGAACGCATGGTTGCAGAAGGCTGACTGTGCCATCGTTTTTGACAAAAGTCAGCTGTGTTCCCCTAGCCTGTGCTGAAGGTCTGTGCCCTTCAGTGCGGCTGGAAGATAGCTGCTTTGGGGCTTTGGTCTGTTGCACTCTGCACCCTGGAAGGTTGGCCTGCTGGACTTCTCTGAGGCTGACTTCACGAGCATTTATGTCCTTGCCCTTAGTTTAAAACAGGTTTTGTGTACTCTTCACTGTCACAGTAAACACACACAAACGTTACACAGGCTTTAGAAAGCATCTTTTCTGCTTTCTCCCTGGGGCCAGAGCAGCTAACTCAGGGGTATAGCTGCAGGCAGGTCACCCACACAGCATCATCAGGAAGTGTGGTCAGGAGACCCAGCTTGCTGTGCTGCTCCACGTGAGCAGAATTGCCCTGCTGGTGTTGCCTTCTCCAGCTTGCCTGGGTGGGAAGGTAGAAAAACAAAAGAAAGTAAATGGCTGTGTGCTCCTCACCTGAAATCACACTGTGAATATTGGCATATTTCACTTGGTGTGTTTGAACATGTATTTTGCATGGTTGGGGGTACTGTTCACCACAGAGGTTTATAGTGTGCATTGGTATTTTTGTCCTGATACAGTACTCTTTCTAAAAACAGATACAAAATGTATTTTGCTTAACTGCCTTCCTGACATTTACTTCCCTGAGTTTACTATGTTTCCAGTTTCTTACTCTTATAAAATAGCTGTGGTGATTATTTTTGTATAAAATGTGTATTCTTGTTCAAATGATTTCCTGAGGAAAAAATTTCAAGAAAGGGTTGCTAAGTTGATCCTAGCCAGCTTACTTTTCAGAAAGTTGTACTCGGTTGTATTTCTATTAGTATACTAAAGCACCTTCTCAAAATGGATAAGACTTGTTCATTTTCTATAACTCCAGTCCCTTTTTTTAGGAAGTGGAAATGATGAAAACTGCCTATCGGAAGGAACTAGAAAAAAACAGAAGCCACGTTCTCCAGCAGAATCAGAGACTTGATACCTCCCAGAAACGGATTTTGGAACTGGAATCTCATTTGGCCAAGAAAGACCACCTTCTTCTGGAACAGAAGAAATATTTGGAGGATGTCAAGGCCCAGGCAAGGTACCTCATAGGAAGGGTTAGGGCGAGTGTGGCTCCTTATTAAGGGGAGTCTTCCATATTCCAGGTGGGTCTGTGTCTTTCAGAAGACAGCTAGAGGCTGCAGAGAGCAGATATGAGGCTCAAAAAAAGATCACCCGAGTGTTTGAGTTGGAGATCTTAGACTTGTATGGCAGGTTGGAAAAGGATGGTCTCCTGAAAAAACTTGAAGAGGAAAAGGCAGAAGCAGCTGAAGCAGCGGAAGAAAGGTAGGAGGAAAGAATTGTATCCTGGCCTTGCCATGAAGCTGCCTCTAGCAGGCAGTGCTGCAGAGCATTGGCAGTAGCAGTTACAGCTGGTTGGACAGGGCTCAGAGAGCCACCCTGACTTGCCTTTTCTCACAGTGCCATTGATCTCCCACCTTCCTGGCTTGAGTCCCTATCTGCCGTTTGTGTTGCAGATTGCCACCCAGAATCCCTGGTTGTGACTTAGGTTTCCCTTTGAGATCTCTTGTTTGGGTCTGCTGTTTTAAGACAGCAGGCCATCAGGGTTCATATTCAGTGGGAGTAATTCCACATCTCCCAAATGTGGATGACACAGTCACCAACTCCTTTTTTCCTCCCTGGATTTCTTACAGGCTTGACTGTTGTAATGATGGCTGCCCGGATTCCATGGTAGGGCACAATGAAGAGGCATCTGGCCACAATGGAGAGACCAAGACTCCCAGGCCTGGCAGTACCCGGGGCAGTAGTGGAGGTAGAGGAGCAGGAGGCAGCAGCAGCAGTAGCAGTGAGCTTTCTACCCCGGAGAAACCCCCAAGCCAGAGGGCAGGCCCATTCAGCAGCCGGTGGGAAACTGCCATGGGTGAGCCCTCCACCAGCATCCCCACGACTGTTGGCTCTCTCCCCAGTTCCAAAAGTTTCCTGGGCATGAAGGCCCGGGAGTTATTTCGTAATAAGAGTGAGAGCCAGTGTGATGAGGACGGCATGACCATCAGTAGCCTTTGTGAGACCCTAAAGACAGAACTGGGGAAAGACTTGGGCTTGGAAGCCATGACTCCCTTGAACCTAGACAGCCCGCATCCATCTCCCCCAAACCCAGACAGTGTTGGACAGCTTCGCATCATGGACTACAATGAGACTCATCACGAACACAGCTAAGGAGAGTCAGTCAGTGTTAACTTGCGTCTTGTTGGCATAGAACAGGAGGTGCGAATGCTTGTTCAAGGCTTTCCTGTTTCCAGGGTCTGGGTGGCTGCTCACGTGGTGGGAGTGGGACGGAGGTCCTTTTGACGCCTGACTGAATGCACAACGGTTTTCGGATCTGGCCTTGAAATGCCTCTTAGCCTTCCCCTTGACCCTCTCTGATTCACCCAGCAGTCTGTACTAATGGAGGGCCATTTTGCGTTCCTCAGTAGCTTTATTTTCCTTCCTTTTCCCCCAAATGGTTGCATCCTTTGAACCTGTGCAATATGAGGCCAAATTTCATCTTTGAGTCTAACACACCACTCTCTGCTTTCCTGAAGTCAGATAACTGGGCGGCCCTTGGTTAGACTAGGCAGTTGGCGGCATTGCAGGTAAGTTTGGTTTTGTCCCTTCCAGGAAGACGTACCTTGCAAAGCTGATTGACTTCACGGGAAAGCTCTTATGGGAGACTTCTCACTGCTTTTTGGTTCTGAGGTTCGGCATCTAAAATAGCAGATCTAGAAAAACATGGTTCATTCACCCTTCCATTCTTTTGGCGGTTCTGATAAGCTTCCTAGAAAGTTCTGCTTAGACAAATGCCCGTTTCCAAAGTCTGGTTGGCGCTGTGGAGGCTCTGCTTCCTCACCCTTTGGGAAAGTTCTTGTCCCTCTTTCCCCACTACCTCTTATTTATTTGATGTTTGCTTGAATGGTGGCACCCCACTGACCCAGGCTGGCATGTGGCTGATAAGCTTGTTCTCTGTGGGTGCAAGGAGAGGTCCCAGGGAGAGGTTGCTGGAAGCTCAGGTGTGTGGAGCTGCACCTCTGGGCTGGTCTTGCCAGCTGAGCTATTGGTTCAGCCCTGGGTCTGGTGGCCCTCACCCCCACCCCCGAGCTCATTCATGTCTCTTGTTTGCTGGCTACTTGGTAATACTGCAGCAGAGAGGCTCTGGAGATCCAGAGAGTTTTCTTCACAGCTTACGTGACATTTCTTGGGCTGTGGGGTTGCCACACTACTGTAGGTTCCAGGCCACCACAAAGGTAGCAGCTTTTTCACACAAATTCTAACTTTCAGGGCCAGCTCTCCTGGGAGCTTGATATTGTCACCCTCTCCAGATTAGGAATGACAGAGCAACATAGAGTTGAGTCTGGCAGGGTGGTGTTGGAGGCGGCCTGCCTGTACCAACTGGGCTGCCTGCAGGTGCTCATGAGGGCCATACAAGTCAGAGCGCCAGCAGTGCCGAGCATCCAGGCTCAATAAGTGCTTCTGAAGAAGTGCTAGACGCCTAAGGATCATTCCTGGCGTCCCAGTCCAGGTAGGAGATACTTGGCAGGAAGGAGCCAGTGAACTTGGTATTTCTGTTTCTGTTCTTTCCATGAAAAGAATATAAGGGTTCAGTCGTGAAGAAATTAAACTGTAATGGTACGAAATCTCACGGCATGTGAAAATTTCCAGCACGTGAGGGTGAAAGTCTTTTTGTTAGTAGTAAATATTCTAGCATCCCTAACTAAAGAGAACTAGGCAGAGACTCCATGTCACCATGGCAATACTGGCCAAAGACCTGCTGGGAACAGGGTTTCTGGTGTAACTGATTGACCTCAGCCACAGAAGGGCATGCCCTGACTGCTAGCCGCCCCGCAGAGGCCAGCCCTCAGCACTGGTTGTCCAGTGTGGAGTCCTGGGGGATTCCACACTTCTGATTCTGCTTTGTCCAAAGGAAAGCTTAAAATCCAATATATTCTGGTTTCCTTGTTCCATTGTATACAAGGACAACATGAACAAGTTTAAAAAGGGCAGGAAGATGTTACAGGTTAACTGTTTGCAGTGCTTTCTCCTTCCCATGCCCACTAAATCTGTGCCACAAAACAAAGATACCAGGCACTTAATTCGCAGCCTTTCCTTACCTGGCACCGGAAAGGAGGCCTGTGTAAGAAGGGAAAGAACGTTATATGGATTGTAAAATGTAGGGAAGGAAAGAGGCAGTTGACCAAGGTGTGGCTGAAGGCTCCAAGTTTCTGTGCCAGGCCATCGGCCATTCCTCCAGCCTAGGTTCCATCTCCCAGCTTTATAGCCCAGGTGGACCCCAGTGCTCTGGCTTGGGCCCCTGTGAGTTCTAGGAGGCCGCTCTATATGGGTTTCACACATATAGAGATGGGAGATTGAGTCCTGGGGTCCTGGTGAAGTTACCCAGCCTGAAAACTTGGGCTTTGGTGTTGCAAAGGGCTCCAAATTTAGTTCAAGACTTGCTTTTGTTTTGAAAGTAGTGAACTTGCCAAGGGTTCAAGTGGGTCACTTGATGATACCTCAAGCAGTTTAACGATGAAAGGCAATAGGGAGAGGAACTCCTGAGGGGCTGCTGAGGCCTAAGGAAAGGCATTGGAATGATGAGCGCGCTCGGGAGAGCCTGTCTCGTCACTGACTGAGCTCCTGGTATCTGGGACTGGGTGGCTCCTTCCGGAAATCACTGTGAGCGATGCTGACAACCAGTACACATAACTCGAACTCCTTCCTGACCCCAACCAGCCCTGCACCAGCCCTGAGCAGCCCAGAACCTGCATCTCATGCAGAGTGGAATCTGTTTAAAAAGGAATCCTGTGCTATTATTTGGGGATGGGGGAGGCAAGAGGAGCAGTAGGAAAGGGCAGAGAAAAATGAGCTCCTGAACCCACTACTGTAAATAAGCAAACACATCTCTGAAAGAACCTTCATGGGTTTTTAAAAGCTTGTGACAGGGCTCTATCATAAAGTCTGCAAAAATTGGTACTGTGGGATTCAGAGAAATAATGTGTTTATGACTATCAAGAAACCAACTGAAACCCAGAGGTAGGAGGTTGGGGTCTGTTCTTAGCTGGAGAGGTTTTAAGAGGTGTCATTAGAGGTGAGTGCTGAGAGCAGCATCACTGAGGCAGGTGGGCACATAGTAATCTGTTCAGGCTTGCCAACAGTGTTTTTGGAAAGACTGCCTGACCTTTGGGAATAGCTGCAGAGAGTTCCTACTGTCTGTGATGTACTTAAGGGAAACAGCTCACACTCTTAGAAGGTATACTGCCGTAACCCAAAAGAAAGCCCAAGAAGCCACTAACAATTAAAAACAGCCTCCCCCACCCCACCTCATTGCTGCTGTGGCCAGAGGACAGCACCTCCTTGGGCAAAAGCAGGACAGTGGGCCCACATACTAGGCTCTCCCTTCTGTTGCCATTTGCAACAGAATGTGTAGTTTCCAGCTCTTTTTTGTCCAGAAAGATAAAACTTCAGCAGTTGTTTAGAGGGTGCATGCCTGGTCATGGGATGCAAGAATCTGTGAGCTGGACCATAGAGCTTAGACTGGCATTAAGGAAAGAAAACTGGTTACTTGTTTTTGTGTAGACAACAGAAGCGTGTTGTGAGTGGCCAATGGTAATTTCCACCAAATACTAGAACCTACCACTTGAAGCCAGCAAGAACTGAAGAGTAAAGAAAGTCCATGAGGAAGCATGGGCAAGTGTGGGCAAGCGGAGGAGGATTTGGGGCCCGGCAAGGTCAGGCCCACGCTGCAGTGCAGGCGGAGAGCTGTCTGCCCTTGCAAGGACTCTCCCGGCGTGGTCCCAGGAGCAGCTCAGGTCCACTCAGGAGGGTCTGCCTTGCAGGGGAGCCAGTTACCATGTGTGCAGTGACCAGAGCACACTGGGCACCTGCTGTGGCTTCACTCTTGGAGGCATATGCTGTAGAACTGACTTACAGAAAGTGTTAGAGAACGTGTTCAGTCTGAGGGTGTTCGTTTGTCTGTTTACATCCTGAGTGGTGACGCGTGCCCACTCCTCCCAGCAGATCACTGCAAAGTCATTAATTGCACTTGATTTAGCTTCTTTCTGTAGCCAAAAGAGAAGTTTAGGTCAGGAACTAGCTCCTAGGCTGCTGCTGAGACCCTTGTTCCCAGGCAGTTCCTTTCCCTATCCGCGACTCCCTCATGTGCCCAGGGAAGCTGTTTCCACACCATCCTGCCACCTGTGCATGCTCACTTGAAAGATTGTTGGCAGATGCAAAGGAAACCCCAGCTGCTTTTGGTGTTCATTTAAATGAGTTCATGAGGGCCGAGGAGCTTTGTGCCGCTGCCCAGTGCCACCACACTAGCCACCCTTTGGGATAAGCTGGCTGGTTTAGTCATTGGAATAGGTTTTTTGGAGCAGAACTTAGGAGCTCAAGGACCCCAAAACACCCCCCCCCCACCCATCGTCCCCGCCCCACCTGGTGCAGTGTTTGGGCAGGAGGGTGCACCCAGGCTCTGCGCAGCACATACTCTGGCTGATCAGAGGCAGCCAAGCATTTTGCACTAGGAAGAATCAGTGATCGATCTTCAGAAGACTTCTATGGACCAGTTACATTACGGAGGAACAGATTTTGCTAAGACGTAATCTAGTTTTATAACTCAATCATGGATGAACCATATGAGGCTAACTTGCAGTTTAAAGGGGTCCCATGAATGAAAATAATCTGATTTTTTTAACTGACTGCTTTTAGTTAAATGCAAGAAAGTCCCCTCATCAAAAGGTTTAAACTTTCCCACCTTGATCTTAAAAGCATGTCAAAACAATCCATATCAGATGCCATAAACATGAACTGCAAGAGAACATGGTACAATCTCAGTGAATGGGAATTGGAATCAAAAGGGTTTGCTGTCCTTCTTAGAATGTTCTAAAATGTCAAGGCAGTTGCTTGTGTTTAACTGTGAACAAATAAAAATTTATTGTTTTGCACTACTCTGCTGTGTGACATGGAGTGACTTACACTGGCCTTGGACTTAAAGTAGGGAACTCTTCAAAGATGCAGAAGCCTTGGGTCTGGAGTGGTTACCGTGGGTGGCTACAGGAGGGCACCCAAATATTGGTCTGGCTTTAGGCTTTAGTCTCTGTTAAGCACCTTTGTGTTCTGGAAGATTTTCTTCACTGATAACTTACCTGCCTTAAATCTTTGGTCTTTCCCAAAGAGTGGCATGGTGTGCTTGTGTCAAGGGTTGAGTCATGTCTACCGGAGAAGCCCTGAGAGCCAGGGGCTGCCAGTCCACACTCCTGCTGTGTCTGGAGGGGTGGCCAGTTGAGTTTCATGGGATCCTTTTGGTGGAACCTGGTGGACATGCATTTTGTGGCGATTTCGCCAGCTCTGATCCCTGCCAGCTGTGTGCACATGTGCCAGGAGAAGGTGCACAGCTGTCACCAGCTGGTTCATGCCCATTGGGCATTCTGCAGAAGGTGGGAAACCACCCTATGAGATTTTAAGATCTGCCCTGGCTTCTGATAGCATGGCCTGTGATGCTGAGGAAAGGACCCTTATGGCAAGTTGTGTCGCAGTGGTTTTCAGGTGCTCGCCCAGCGGTCTGGACGTCAGAACTGCTGCCCATGGCAGAAGCAGCACCTTCGGGATGGACTTGAAGGTGGCGGTTGTTAATTTGTCTGGAATTCAGGTTTTCTTGCCTGAGGAAGTCTCTCACTAGACAAGGTGCAGGTCTGTGGACTGGCCCTCTGTTACCTGGTGTGGACCTCAGAGTCAGGCCCTTTCTAGAGGCAGGGTCCCCTTGGTGGCAGCAGTTTCTCTGCTGTCTGGGAGGGGCTTTGCCTGTGTGGTTACCTCCCAGTATCTTTTGATGTCTTGGGAGAAACGCAGGTTTTCTTTCAGGGAGAAGTCCCAGGAAACCAAACCAGCCAGGCAGAGGTGGTAGAACATTTTTTATTCTTGMCTGTCTCCCCCCGAGGAAGCAACAATACAGAAGCTAAGTCGTCCCCTGCGAAGGGAAAAAGTAACAATCAGAGCTCAAAGCAGACACATCACACAGTGTGTGGGCCTCGACTATGCTGTGGACATCAGGCCATGGTCCTTGCTCAGGAACCACAGACAGAATTCTTCTGGAGAAGTGGGCTCACTGCCTTTGTTTTGGTCCAGGGAACTGAACCCTGAGGGGTTCCTTCAGCATCTGCCCCTCCCTCCATCCTGGGAGTGGGAGCATCCCTGTCCTGCAGAGAGTCTGTGCCTGCTTCCTGTGGCTGCTGGGGCAGGGAGCTGGATGGCTGCTGGGTGTGGCTCAGTGCCCTCACCTGGGACACCCTCTAGCAACACCATACTGTTTGGGCAACTCATTAAGCGGGGATCCTCTTCACCAGCACAGAGCTTAGAAGCAGGAAAGTTACAAGTGAAAGCAAGAGAAGGAGAGATTCTCAATGATGTATTGGCCCTTTTGGGGTTAACGGCAGGGGTGCCGGCACCAGCAGGAATGGATCCACAGGGGAGTCCACACTGGTTAGCAGAGCACCCAGCCGTGGAGCAGGCCCCTGGCCTTGAGTTACAGTTTCCCACCGGGCGGCCTCCAGGGAGGCTTGGAATGTCCTTTGTCTCGCCCCCTGGGTTTGAGGCGGTCTTTTTCCAGCTGCCTACATTTGTGCTTTCTTAACCAGCGCTGGGTGCCTGCGGTCCGGGCAGGACAAGCGGCTGCCCTGGTGACATTCTGACATGCTGCGGGCTCACTCACGTGCTGCAGCGCTTTGCGGGGCAGCTTCTCCGAGTGAGCGATCCACTCTTTCATAAGGTCCAGGACAATGGGGATGAGGCTGACCACACCGCCATAGTGGTTCCTGGCCTCGTCACAGCTGAGGTGGTTCACTACATCGTGAGGGTACCTGCAGGCCAGGAGAGGAGGGAGAATGGTGAGCCTTGCTGTGGGGACTGGCTGGCAGCTTCCAGGCCTGGTGCTAAGGCTGTGTCCCCACCAGGTCCAGCTCAGCAGGTCAAGACCGGGAGCCCCAGGTGCTTCTGCTATGAAAGTCAGGAGCTGAAAACCACTACCCTGTGGTGTCAGGAAAAACACGCTGCCTGGGTGCCCTGCTGTGTCTAGTCCTGGTTTTAAATAGGTCTTCATTGATAGTCATCCCATGAAGGAAGTGTGCACAGCTACAGGGGAGAGCACCAGCTCAGTGTCCCCCTAGGGATCCTCCACAGCACACACCAAGGCCTCACCAAGGCCCAGAAGGGACTTACTTTGCTCTGAGGGTGCTCAGGTCATTGCTTTGGCTAACCAAGGTTTTGCATTTGTCAAGAATGTTGTTGGTGACTGGGGTGCCAGAGTGCATGGCCTCAAAGTGCTGGCAGAGCCTGTTCAGCTCTGAACAGATGTCCAGGAACATGAGCAGGATCCGCCGGTCTGTGGAGTTGTTACAGTAGTGTTCCATGTAGCTCTGCACCTGTAAAGGCCAGTCTGATGTGAGCTGGGGATATGCTGGCCCCCACTGGAACAGCTACCCGGGTTCACTAGGAGAAACCAGTAACACTTAGGCACTCTGACATACAGACCACAACATACAGCTAACATCACTAGTGTCCCAGGCACCGTGCAAAATGCTGTCTCACTCTTCTCTAAACCCTACACACTGGGTAGGTCTTCTTAAAATTCCTATTTTATAGATTAACACCCTGAATACTGGAGATTAAGAGGTGAAATCACCCGCTGGGGCACCAGTGGAAGTGGCTTAGCTGAATGTGTCTCCCAACTTGTGAATGAATGAGGCTGGGGACAGGGTGATCCATATGAGAAAAATGTTCCTACCACATCCCATAGTCAAATAACAACTCTAGGAGTGGTAGGAGCTAAAATGCCAAAAATAAGACTTGAATGTATTTGAAGAAGACATACAAGGGCGCTAAGAGTATTGATCCTCCAATCTACTTTCAACTTTTCCTTGCTGGCAGGGGGCTGGGGCCTCCCTGAGTGGGAGTCTTTCTCCAGTTACCTGATACCACCCAGTGACTGCATCTGAGGCCGGGCCAGGGCAGGAGGCCTGAGCTCCTGTGGAGAGGAAATGGGTTGGGTCTAGGTCCCATTAACTTATCACTCATTCCATACACAACTAACTCTCACCATGATCTGATGATGGGAAGGGTATCACTGCCTTCCCAAGTACCTGGAACTTTATCAGGCTACAGAGCTTCCCTGTTGCTAAGGGATGTCTTCCTGAATGATCTGAAGTGGTTCCTCCCCAGCTTTGTCAGGGGAGAGACTCCTGTCCACAACTGCATGGACACCACTGCATGTGGTAGCCACAACAGAGCTGTCACTGGGCTGCCTGGGTGTATGCAGGCAGCCTTTGGATGCCTGGCTCTGGGAGGGCAAGTGGGGCTGAGAGCCAGCACTTGAGATGGGGCATCAGAATGCAGGACAGGGTTTACAGGAGCCTCTGATGTGTCTAGGCGGGAAGGCCACTCCCACATGTCAGGAAGCTCAGGGGCAGATGCCAAGGCAGTTGGGACTCCAGCTAGTCTTGGAGACTGAAAACCTGTCCAGCGCCCTTAGAAAAAGCTCCAGGGGGATGACCTGCTGCTTGTGCATCAGCCAGTGCAGGGGCATGTCATCAGTTGGTGGGCTCAGAGTCAAGAGCTAGTGCGTCTGCCAAAGGTTGTGTGCTATTCCTTTCTGGATATTCAGCATTTTTCAAGATAAAAAATTGGGGAAGTGGGACATGGATTTTACAAAAACCAGGGAAACAATGTTTTCTGTCAGCAAGGCCTGCCTGTTCTCTGTGGCTGCTTCTCCTGAGCTGTTCTGAGCCCGGTACCCACCCCCACCATCTTCACAAGCAGCTGGGCTTCAGCAAGCTTGCGTCCTCACAGTGGCCTCTTTACAGTCCAGGCCTGGCCTATGGGTGGGGTCCTAGCTGCACTGTGGCTCAGGCCCCTAACGTCATGGATGGCCTCCAAATCCTGCAGAGCAAACTTAGCAGACAACAGCTAACCCTCAAGGAAGATTGTTGCAAAAGTGACTAGCAGTTTCTCAGTACCCTGCAATATGTGGTGACAAGGACCATAKCCATCTCAATCACCAGTAAAGCTCCACTGCTCAGCCCCCAGTGCTTACTGGGGGCCAAACTTGGGCCGGCAGTTTTCCATGATGGTTCCACTGAATATGCATAATATATGAGAAAACTGAGGCTTAGTGAGGTAAGTAACCTCACTAGCCCAAGGTCACAGAGGTAGCAGGTGGACTTTGACCTTGGCTGGATGAGTCTGGTAGGGGAGGAATGGGGGGAACTTATTCTATCAGTTAGGGTCTGAGTCCTAATCTAATTCAGGCACAAATGTGCTTCCCTTTCCTGGGCTCTTTCAGGTGTGGGGACTGGGCTGGGGAGGCTCCCATGACCAGGGTCAGCCCTGTCAGGTGCCACCTGTTCGATGCTGGAGATGGGCCGGATCTTGTCATGTGCGTTCTCCCTGCAGTGCTCCAGAGCTGCGATGAAGGTGAACTGCTGCTGTTGGAACAGCTTGTACTTCTGCTCAATGCCTCGGAGGGTCTCTTTGGCCTCATTCATAGTTGTCCTCTGTGCTCACAGGATAGGAGAGATCTACAGGGAGGAAGAGGGCCATGAGGCCCCAGGAGCCGGCCCCGGAGGGAGGGAGGGAGGGAGGGAAAGATTCCCAACCTGCTCAGCCTATCCCCACAGTCCTGGGGCACAGGGACTGTTTGTTTGATCCCTGCTTTACAGAGAAGGGAACCAGGGTCCTAGGAGACCACACAACTCACTCAGGATCTCCCAGGTTACCCATGACCATGCTAAACCTGACCCTTGTCCATGGATAGTCTCCCATGCAATGTGACTTCCTTCTCTCAGGACAGCTTCTCTCTTCCTTGGCTTCTGCAATTATGAGTGTCTACACACACACACACACACACACACACACACACACACACAGCCTCCAGGGCCTCCCTGTGGTGCCAGCACAACCCGGGAATCAAGGGGTATGCCCATAGGAGGAAAAACCAGCAGAACACCAGTTAAGACAAAATGACTAAGACACCAGCCACTGTGCTGGTGGGAGAGTGGGCTAGCTGGGAAGGGTCTGTGCTGGGTTGTTCAGTGTACGTTGCAAGTCCCCCTGCTCTGCRCTTGGGCAGGGGCCCTGGCCTTAGTCCATGTCATGTGCAGGCCTGGCCCTGATTAGGAACATTAACTGTACCCATGGTGCCACAGGCTGGCCCCGGTGGGACGCAGGTGGCCCAAGAGCTTCTAGAATCCCCTGTGAGCAGAAAGGGCAGAGGGTTCTGTACTCTCTGACTCCTCAATTTTTCTGAGCATGTGAAAAATGTTGCAGATTTATGGAATGTTAGAGCTGGAAAGGTCAGCAGGCCAACTCCCCTTCACTTCCAGGAGGGAAGTGGAGGCCCAGAGACACCCCAGGCTCTACACTTCCTGATTAACCAACATCCTTACCCCTGCCACATCTGGCTGTGCCTCATGAGTGGGGATCAGAGGAGTTGGCTCCAAGGTAGGGACAAGGTGTCCCTAGTGGAAGGGGCAGGAACACAGCAAGGATGGGCAGGTCTCAGGTGGAAGAGTGAAGACAGGATGGATGTGGGAAGAATTCTTTCTGTCCCCCTCGGCACCCTGAGCAATGAGGAGAGCTTGAGTTGGGAGCACATCTCTGCTGCAAGAGGAGATGACAGCACAGACGGACCAGAAGATGTCTCCACAGATCATGGGCACAGTGAACCAGAGGATTTGAGAGGGGTAGCCCTTCAGTGGGATGAGCCAGCTGAGGGTCCTGAGAGTTGTGCCCTATAACCTGAACAGGCAGGTTCAGGAGAGTGCCAGCCAACAGCAGGAGGACCGCCACTCCCCTGGAGGCTGGTGTGGGCCTATCCAGGCCTAGGCGGCCTCCTTCCCCTCAAGCTCCCCATACTCAGCACAGCATCTGACATGGGGAAGGAAGGGCAGGGAGGCTGGGGCCCACTGCTGACTGAACACCTGCCATATCTTTGGCCCCCTTCCCAGGGGGCAGAGATGGCATACCTGGGCACACTGGGTTTCTGTGGTGCTTCCCGTGCAGTTGGGTTCACCACAACTAGGACTAGGGTGAGGGAGGAGTCAACTGCCTCCTGCGAAACTTGAGGGGGAACCAAAAAAAAATCAGTAATCGAGAGAAAAATATTTTTTAAAAAGTGAATATAAGGGCTGGGGCTGGGGCTGGGGCTGAGTGGTAGAGCACTGTCTGGCATGTGTGAGTCACTGGGTTTGATCCCCAGCACCACATATAAATAAATAACAAGGTATAAAAAATACAACAACCAAAAAAAATTTTAAAAAGTGAATACAAAACACAAAAAATTAAAAATGAACACAAAATTCTACAAAGAACAAAATGACAGAATTTTAAGGAAAAACAGGATAGTGCTGCGTCACACTAGAACCTGTGGCAAAAGGAAAATTCAGTTAATAGTATCTGACTTTTACTTCAATTTTTGATATTCTAAATGGATTTTAACATTACTTTTGATTTTTAGAAAATACTGGTTTTTTTTTTAAAGAGAGAGAGAGAGAGAGAGAATTTTTAATATTTATTTTTTAGTTTTTTTGGCAGACACAACATCTTTGTTTGTATGTGGTGCTGAGGATCGAACCCGGGCCGCACGCATGCCAGGCGAGCGCGCTACCGCTTGAGCCACATCCCCAGCCCCAGAAAATACTATTAAAAACGTTGATCATTAAGATTTTTTGGTGCCACCTTACGTTTTATTTTTTTTTTTAAGTTGTTGATGGACCTTTATTTTATTTATTTACATGTGGCGCTGAGAACCAAACCCAGTGCCTCACACATGCTGAGCAAGTGCTCTGCTATTGAGCCACAGCCCAGCTGCCCCTTAAGTGCTGTGCCAAGGCAAGTGCTTACTGGCCCCACCCTAATCCAGTCTGGAGTTTGCAAATGACTCAGAGGGAAGACCTAGAAAAGTCACAGTGATACAGAAATGGGTTTTCAGGGGAGAGAGTACACCCAGTCAGGCTGGCCTTTGCCTACAGTGCTGTAGTCAGAGTGGTTAAAATGGCCCTGGCTCCACCCCTGTGGCTGACCTCAGGCAAGCTACTCCTCAGTGTCCTAACATGCCATAGGGAGAGAGCAGCATTAGCTGCCCAGTCTTGGGATGAACACCAGATGAGGTGACAGGTACAAGGTGTAGACCCTGGGCCTGCAATATGATAATACCATCATTGCAGCCACTAGAACTATTGGGATCAAACTCTGCATGCGATGGCAGGGGATTGCCACAACTGTGTGCACCTGGAAGGAAGCAAGGGCTGCTGAGGTAGGAGGGGTGGAGAGGTGGGACTGTGGGCTGGGTTGAGGGGTGGGGAATGCAGGAAGACTGAGCAGTTGCAGAAGAAGGCAGCAGACATGCCCTGTCCTGGGGTCAGGCTGGGTGTTCAGAAGAACCACTGGAGGCTTCTAAGCCAAGGGGGTAAAAACATGGCAGGCATTTGCTCGCTAGGTCTTCACTTTGCCAGATGCTGTCCAGGTACAGAGATCTATGACACTGGCCAAAGTGGACAGGCCCCCTGCCCTGGAAGAAGCCACCTGCTAAAGAGTGGGAGATCAATCAGGGCATAGGTGATGACATGAAACTGCTTGGTGGGCATGTGGGAGAAGCAGGTCGTACAGTCTCTGCAGGAGGGACTTTGGGTGGATGTGGTGCAGGGCAAAGGACAGGTATGCTCCAGCCCTAGATCCTGGCTCACCCTGTCCTCATGAGAACAGTTGGTCAGAGCTCTAAGTAAATAAGCCCTGGGCATGCTTTACCTTGAGTTATCCCCTCAGCCTAGAAATGAGAGGCCATGTTATTTCACAAGCTGAAATGGAGCAACTGGAAATGGGCAAGCCTGGACTCCTCCCGAAGCCTGCCTTTCTAGTCAGGGCTTTTGGCTCCCTCCCTGCTGTTCCTTAGAGACAAACTTGCTACAAATCACACTGGCTGGGGGTGGGGAGAGGTCAGATTGCTAGACCCCTTCTAGGGTTCAACCACTAGCTAGACCCTGGGCCTCACGCCCACTCCCACTAGACTTCCCCTGTTACCCACCTCAAAGCAATAGGGACTAGGATTTAGGGGGCTGAGTCCAGCTCCCTGCCATCCTCTTGGGGATTCCTGAGACTGCCAAGTTCTCCAAGGATACAGCAATACCTTGGCTGGTGGCCCCAAGAGCCCCTGAGAGCAAAACTGACTTGGTTCTTGATCCTAGCAACTTGTGACATGCACACCAGGAATGTCAACGAGAGGAGCTGTAATAAGCTATCCAAAGTGATCATCCCTTGAACAAGAGCTCTGCAGCCAAATTAGTGTAGATGAAAGGTACAGGGTGCAGGCACTTCTGGATCTAGGGAAGGTGGGAGGAAAAAAATGATTACCTGATAGGTTTTAGGCTTTAATTGATTTGTATTTTCCCAGGCTGCTAAAGAAGATTAAATCATGGTATGAAAAACGCCTAGGGCTTAAAATAAATGAGGAGAAAGGTACATCATTTCAGAAATGTCCAAGAAGCAAACTGAACTTCTCTGCCACAAATTGCAGGCTTGGTTGTTGTGTTCTTTGTTCGGGGGAGATAGCTTCCTTTTCTTCCCCAGCTGTCTTTGGGTTTGACAAGCCCACCAAGATGTGTGCACTTTGAGAAAGCAGTTTTGGGGGAAAAAAGGCAGCACTGCTGGTTTTACTTTGGAGGGTGTCTGTGGGCTGGAGTCAGGGTGCCTACTTCCAGTTCCGGGACCCTGGGAAAGATTTTCCCCCTTTCTGAGCCTCAGTTTATGCATCTGTAAAACGAGGGGCTCGTCAGTCTGATCCTTCAATTTCTTACCTGTAAAATGGGAACGACAGCGCCTATTCCACATGGCTGTCGCAAAGATACTACTACTACTACCCACAGCGGCCTCCGCGCTTGGCGTGCTCACTGACTGCAAGTCTCAGTCCAGAGGCTTCACTAACCCCCTCCGGCACCAGGGAGGGAAGGGAGGCACCGAGCAGGCAGCTGGCCAGCCGGAGCCCCCGGCCCGCCGCGCCGCGTCCCGCCCGTCCCCTCGGCCCCTTTACCCTTGCTTGTGCTGGACCGGCACAGAGCGCAGGCTGGCGTGACTCCGTGGGCGTCTGGGCCCCGGAGGGCGGGGAGGCCCTGCTTAGGACTCGGGAGGCGGGAGTGGGCGGGGTGGGCGCCGGCGGGGGCGGGCCGCGGCGCGATTGTGACCGCGGGGCCGCGCCCGGGTCACGTGGCCGCCGGGCCGCGCCGGGGAAGGGAGTCCGCTGGGGTCGCGGGCCGCCTCGCGGGCGCCCTCCCGCCCGGAACGCCTGCGGCACGCTGCAGACTGGGAGGCGGAGGCCGGGAGCGGGGAGCGGCCGCGGGCCGGGCGGGCGGGGGCGGCAGCGGGGCGCCTGGGCTGTCGTCGGGCCACCTGAGGCCCCGCGAGGGGCGTGGGCGGGGCGCGGCGCGCTCTGATGACGCAGCCGGCGGCGCCCTGGCTGCCAGTTGCTAGGCAGCGTGCGCCGCGCGACATGGACGCTACCTCGGCCCCGCATCTCATCCCCCCGGAAATGCCCCAGTACGGGGAGGAGAAGCACGTCTTCGAGCTGATGCAGGTGACCCGAGCCGCGCCGCGGACGCCCGGTGCGGGGCTCCGAGCTCCGCGGGCCCCGCAGCGTCCCCGCCGCCCGCGCCCTCGGGCGCAGCCTCGGCCCGCAGAGCCGGCCCGGCTGCGCCCGCCTCCTGCAGCCGAGCCCCCCGCGGAGCCTGCGCGTTGGGCGGCGCAGGGGCCACCCAGGAGGGCTTTCCGCTGCCTCTTTCCAGTCCTTCCCGGCTTGGATGTTTCCGCCAGAGTTTTGACCATTTCATTTAGTATTTTTAATTTTAGAATAATTTCTGACTCGGAAAGTCACAAAAATAATATGGATGTCAGGTGCCAGTGGCACACACCCCTGTAATCCCTGCTTCTTGGAAGGCTGAGGCAGGAGTATCAGAAGTTCCAGGCTAGCGTGAGCAACCGAGACCTTGCTCAAAGTAACCTTTTCAAAAGGGCTGGAGGTGTAGCTCACAGACATCACTCCTGGGTTCAGTCCCACAAACAGTGTGGAATTCTGGTCTAGCCTCGCCCAGGTTCTCCCAGTGACGACATGGAACACAGCAGGAGTACCTTGTCAAAATCTGAAAACTGATGTGGGGCATCATACTACAGGCTTGGTTTGGATATATGTGTGTGTGTCTGAAATTTGTGAGATGTATAGATTCACATAACTACCACTTCCCCCTGTTTTAACCAAATCATTTCTTGAAATCAACCTACTTTTAAAAGTTAACTCCTTTTGACTCATTTTAAGCAAAATCCTTGAAATTATAGATTTGATGTATATATTTTTTCTTATACACATTGAATATGCAACCACATCATCATGAGCGAACTGTCTAAAATCCTCTCAGTGCAGCCAGTGACAGGCAAACATGGATTTAGTCCACCTGTTCCATTGAAAAGGTGGAGGAGCTGAGGCTCAGAGGAGGGAAGGGACTTGCTGGTGAGACCTGGAGTGGGGCTGGGACCAGGACTTGTGTCACACATTGGTGTTCCTTTTACTGCTCCACCCCTCTGCCTTCAGGACGGAAGCCCCTTCCTCCTGGTCCCACCAGCCTCACTCATTTCAGCCAGCAGTTCATTTCTGTGCCATTTGTTCAAAAGCCCTGGCATCTGCTTGCCCTTAACATGTTTGTTCAAATGGATTAAATGGCCAGAGTTTCTGAGGACTATTTCCACATTTGGGTGATAACTATTCCACCCCTTCTGGAAGGACCCAGGTAGTAGCAACCCAGGTGGTTAACTGTCCCCAACAAACAAATGTGCTGGGCACCTACTGGGATTGTGATGGGCCCTGGGGATCCACACAGACAGATCAACAGAACCCATGGCCTGCTGGGGGGATGATCAGGCAGGCAGGGACAAGGTGAGGCCAGGGCAGGTGTGCCGGAGCATGGGACAGATGTGGGTTACCTCGTGCATATGATCAGAAAGGTATGTTCCCGTTGAAACCTGAGGACCCAGTAGAAGGTGGCTAGGACAAGAATGAGGAAGAAGCCTTCCAGGCTAGGAAATAGCTCTGCTAAGACTCTGGAGAGGCCGACAGTGAGGTGCCTGAGGAGAACTGGGAGGAGGCTTGATGGGAAGTACAAAGGGAACCAGGGGAGAAGGCCCTGGGACAGCCTGCTCTGAGTCAGGATGCTATCCCTCCAGGTGCCCCCCCCCCCCGCAACACCTTCCCCCCCTCATGCCTCTGCTCTTGGGGACTCCAGCAGATGCCAGATGGGGCAGGGGCTAGGTCCCAGTTTGAAGGCCTGTGTGGCAGGGTGCAATGGAGAAAGAAGGCCCATGTCTGGCAGCCGTGGCAGCCAGGGCCCCTGGGGGTACTAAGTGCTTCTGTCTGCCCTGTGCCCACAGACCATGCTGGAGCAGCTCCTGATCTACCAGCCTGAGGACCCCATCTCCTTCCTGATCAAGCACTTACAGCGCGACAATGATAATGGTGAGCACTCAGTGTGCAGGCCCCTGCTCCTCCAGAGCCCCTGCCCGACCCTGGCCATAAGAGGAGCCACTCTGTCCTACTTGTGTTTGAAAGGAGTTGGAGCAGGGTGAGGAGGAGCTTTGACAACTTGAGGTGGTTAATTGAAAAATGCCTTCGTTTCTTTTGGAACGCAACTAATAAAAATTCTCTTGCCAAGTTATTAAAATGCAAACCTCAGAATGGCCCACGGAATCAATTATTAATGCCTCCGCCTGCCCTAGCTGATGTCGCCTGTTGGGTTTAAGCTCTCTGATCAGTCCTCTTGTCAGGTGTGTTTGGTTTCTGGTCTACCTAGACAGGCGAGCACTGGGCTTTTCAGACGGTCTCATTATCGGTGCCAGCTAATGAGTTCCAGAGCTCCCCAAGCCTTGGCCAGGTGCAGGTCAGCCAGACTCCAGGCCAGAGTGCAGAACCAGGAGGAGGGGCAGGGGAGGCCCTGGAGCAGGCAGACCCCTCACTCCAAGGTGCCTTGGGCCGATTTGCCAGGTGGAGGATTGAGCTGTCAGGGAAAACCAGCGTATTGGAGCTTTGATAACTCACCAGAGCATGGCTGCTTTGAGGAGTCAGTGCTGGTGTGGCTGAAAGGGACAAGGCCTGAGGTGCCTGAGGTGGGTCTCAGACAGCCTCAGGTGAGGAGCAGCAAAGGTTTTTGGAGGGGGAAGGGGGCTCATGACTGCAGTGACCCATGGTCTCAGGCTGGGCTGTGGCACATCAGAGGAACGTGCTTCTTGGACCCCATGCCATTGCGTAGATCTCTGCCCTGGGTTCAAAGAAAGCCCCCCAGTGCCCTTTTCTGAGTTTGCAGGTGGGCACAGGTGGCTGGGCATTGGCTCACCCAGCTGGGGTTGATGAGCGCCCATATGCCAAGGTGGAGGCAGAGCCATGATGGGGGCCACCCACCAGTCTTCCCCGCAGCCTCACTGGCCAGACTGGCTCACTGTGCCCTACAGCGACTCTCCTGGGAGGCCTGTTCCCTGAGGGTTGTCCTGTGGGGCGGGAGGCTCCTCCGCAGCCTCAAAGCAGCATTGCTTCATTTTCAGAGGGAAAGTTTCTGCCTTCCTCTTCCCAGCCCTGAGGTAGAGCTGGAGCTGCATGGCTGAGCTCCGCCTGTTACTCCAGGGCCGCTGGCAGCACTACTGTCCTGAGCCACCACCAGCAGTGGCAAAGGAGGCAGAGGGACAGTGAATTCAAGAGGCAGACCAAGGTGGGAGTAAAAGCAAAGTGAAACTCAAAGGGGGAAGGGAATCAGTGGCCAGGCTGAGGCGAGAGAGGGCCCAAGCGCAGCCCAGGAGGCAGGGAGCCTCCACAGCCCCACCCACCCGAGAGGTCACTGTCTCCAGAGTAGGAAGTGACAGTGGGGTCCTTGCCCAGGCTTGGTGCCAGTCTCCCTCTCTGCAAGCGGGGCCATGAAGCCTGGCCTATTCCTTGGTGGCCAGTGACGGCCGAGGGGATGACAAGCCCACTTGCCCCTGTGGGGGACAGGGGCTTGGCAATTGTGATGTTCAGCTTTTTGTGGGTGAAGAGCTTAATGAGATTTTTGTAAATTAAAAGCTGTGCTTGGTGACAAAGGCCTGGGGTTGTGCTGGCACTTCCTACCTATCCTGCCAGGCGCCCGCAGGCCCTGCTCTGTGTGCTGAAGCCACTGACCTCCAGGCTTCACTGGGCCCTGGCCTAGGAGCTTGAGAGTCTGACCTGGAGGCCACCTTCTCCTCACGTTCCCACCTTGCTGCTCTGCCTGGGGATTTGTTTTGGTGTCACACTGCCCAGAGCATCAGGATTTTGAAGTCCCAATATCATTCTGGTTTGGATGCAGCTGGTGTTGGCTGGAGAGCCACCTCCTCTCTTTAGGACGGCCCCCTTGTCACCCCGTCATTGCAGGGCTCGGGGCTTTCCAAAGGCTGCCCTCCACAGAGCTGCTCCTTCCTCCTGTTTGCCTTCGCTCTCAGGCAGGGAGAAGAGTCCAGACCCGCTCCTTAGTTCCCAGGCACGGGTGCCTTCCGTCCGCCCTCAAAGCTTTCCAGCCCAAGGCTCCCAGGTGTGGTCACTGGGTCCTGGTAGTTTTGTTTTGGGGGTTAGCTTGTTCCTTCAGCCTTGCACCCCACCCCCAGGCCTTGGACTGGCAGCTTTTGTGGATGTGGGGACATTCTGTCCACAGGCTTCCCTCCCCTTGTTCTGGCCCCTCACAGGTGAAGCACAGCCTATGTCAACCTGTCTAGTTCAAATTATTGAAAAACAAAAGGTAAATTCAATTATATAGGATCAAAAGATGCTACCCCTAACCTATCAAAAGAAAAAATGCCAATTTTTAAATTTTCATTTTTTGTTTTTAGTTATGTGGGGAAATTACCATAAATTAAAAATATTCTGGAGCCTTCATAGAATAGTTTACCACACTGTTCTAGGGAGGGTGGGGCCAAATTGCTTTTGTGGCTTTTCTAGGAGTTGCCTAGAGCCAGTTCAAGCCAATCTTATTGTGTTCTAGAAGACTGCTGAGGCTCGGTGAGGTCATGTGACACCCAACAAATATTTCCAGTGTCCTGGGTAGTTATGGGATTGGCATATCTCGTTCTAGCCACACGGTGGCCTGAGTTAACTGGAGCCAGGCCCTCAACCCTCTGCAAGGTCAACTTGAACACAGGCAACA